GAGACCTGGGGCAAAGGGTCAAGAATGGGGTCAAGGGCTGAGATTTGGGGGAAGGGTCTGGGGAGTGGGGACAAGAGGGGCTCAGACAGGGGCGGCGACACCACCGGCATGGGGAATATAAGCAGCAAAAGGACCAGCACGAACACCAGCACGTTTGGCACAGAAATAGACGGCGGAATCCTCGTCCTTGAGGCTGTTCATGGTCAGCGTCACCGAGCTCTGCCCGTTGTCCCTGGAGATCCTGAACCGGCCCTGCACCGAGGGCGCGTATCTGGTGTCACCACCATTGCTGCTGATACTTGCCACGAATTCCAGCCCCTGCCCGGGCCTTTGGCGGACCCAGAACATCCAAAAACTCCCAAAATCGAAGCCGGAGCCGCGGCAGAGGAGGCGCAGGGAGCCCCCGGGGGGCTGGAGGTGCCCCTGGGCTCCAGCAGGGTCACGGCCGCCCGCAGCCCCAAACGGAAAAAGGGGAGATGGGCACGAGAAACCTGATTGGTTGAGAGCCTCAAAGTGGGCGTGGCCTGCTGGGAAAAGGGACAGGACCCACGTGGGAGGAGGAGGATGAACTGCAAGGGTCCCAGTTTGGGGCCCAGGGTCGGGGTTTGGGTCCAGGGCTGAGCTTTGGCCGTGCCCATCTCCCCTTGTTCCCTTTGGGGCTGCGGGCGGCCGTGACCCTGCTGGAGCCCGGGGGCACCTCCAGCCCCCCGGGGGCTCCCTGCGCCTCCTCTGCCGAGGCTCCGGGTTCAGTTTCGGGAGCTTTGCCATGTACTGGGTCCGCCAAAGGCCCGGGCAGGGGCTGGAATGGCTCGCGGGGATCAACAGCAGTGGTTCCAGCACCTACTACGCGTCCTCAGTCAAGGGCCGGTTCAGGATCTGCAGGGACAACGGGCAGAGCTCGGTGACGCTGACCATGAGCAGCCTCAAGGACGAGGATTCCGGCTCCTATTTCTGTGCCAAAGATGCTTCTGGTGCTGGTGGTGCTTATGGTGCTGCTGATATTGACGGCGCCGGCCATGACCCCATCCCCAACCAGCATCACCATCAGCACCGTCACCGTCTGCATCCCTGGCACAGGAACAGGACCCGGAATCCTCCCCAGGGAGTTCCCCCATGCTCTGGATCCGCCAGAGACCCGGGCAGGCCCCGGAATTCTCTGCCTCAATCAGCAGCGCTGGCAGCCCCTGGGACACGAGCTCGGGTCAGGATCTGCAGGGACAACGGGCAGAGCTCGGTGACGCTGACCATGAACGGCCTCAGGGACGAGGATTCCGGGTCCTGTTCCTGTGCCAGGGATGCAGACGGTGACGGTGCTGATGGTGATGCTGGTTGGGAATGGGGTCATGGAGAGCGCCGTCAATATATCCAGCACCGTTAGCATTCCATCCAGCACCAGCACCAGTAGATTTGGCACAGAAATAGGTCCCGGAATCCTCGTCCTTGAGGCTGTTCATGGTCAGCGTCACCGAGCTCTGCCCGTTGTCCCTGGAGATCCTGAACCGGCCCTGCACCGAGGGCGCGTAGATGGTTTCACCATCATAGTCAATCCCTGCGAGCCACTCCAGCCCCTGCCCGGGCCTCTGGCGGACCCAGCCCATCCCAAATTTCCCGAAATCGAACCCGGATGCTCGGCAGAGGAGGCGCAGGGAGCCCCCGGGGGGCTGGAGGTGCCCCCGGGCTCCAGCAGGGTCACGGCCGCCCGCAGCCCCAAAGGGAACAAGGGGAGATGGGCACGGCCAAAGCTCAGCCCTGGACCCAAACCCTGACCCTGGGCCCCAAACTGGGACCCTTGCAGTTCATCCTCCTCCTCCCAGGTGGGTCCTGCCCCTTTTCCCAGCAGGCCACACCCTCTTTGGGGCCCTGGACCAATCAGGTTTCTCATGCCCATCTCCCCTTGTTCCCTTTGGGGCTGCGGGCGGCCGTGACCCTGCTGGAGCCCGGGGGCACCTCCAGCCCCCCGGGGGCTCCCTGCGCCTCCTCTGCCGCGCATCCGGCTTCGATTTTGGGAATTTTGGGATGGGCTGGTATCGACAGAGGCCCGGGCAGGGGCTGGAGTTCATTGCACAGATCAACACTGCTGGCACCACCCACTATGGAGAATCGGTCAAGGGCCGGTTCACGATCTCCAGGGACAACGGGCAGAGCTCGGTGATGCTGACCATGAACAGCCTCAAGGACGAGGATTCCGGCTCCTATTTCTGTGCCAAATGTTTCAGCAGTGGTTGTGTTTATCCTGCTGCTGCTGCTGGTTATGGTGTTGATGGTGGTTCTGGCCCCAGGCCCTCTCCTCTCTGTTCCCAAGAATCCCCAAATCCTCTGATCCTTCCCTCAATTCCCAGCCCCGTTTCTCAAATCTTCACCATTTTGCCCCAAACTCCGCCCCAGCTGCTCCAACCCAGGACTTTCCCCCAGTTTTTTGCCCATTTCTCCCCCCTCTGGCCCTTCCCCTCCCTCCCAGCTCGCCATGGGGCTCAGCCCGGGGCGCTTTGGGCCCAAAGCTTTTTGTGCAGCTGCGGCTCTGCTGAGGCGCCCGGCAGCTGAACTCCCCTCTGTCAAACACCGGCGCTAAAAACGACCCAAACCAGGAACTTTCTGTTTCCTTTCCTGCCCCGGCCGCGCCCCGGCAGCTGCCAGGGAGGAACTGGGGGGAGCCCCAAAATCGAGGCTTCTTCTCCTCCTCCTCCTCCTGCTCCTCCCACCTGGGGCTGCCCTTCCTCCTCACCGGCCGGGATGTCCGGGGGCTGCTCCCTGGGTTTGGGGCTGAAATCCTCCCTTGGGGCTCTGCAGGAAAAACCCTTTTTTATCCCCCCAAAAACCACGTGAAAGTGTTGGGAAATTAAATTGCTCAAATTGACCTGGGCCAAGGGCTCCACGCTGAGAGAGGCAGATGGGTCCAAGGGTGGATTCGCCTGGAACGTTCCATGGGTCAAGGGCAGGGTCAGCACAGGCCGGTCCAGCTCGGGAGCTGCAATCGCCCCAAGTGGGCCCCGAGCTGAGATTTGGGGCCAGGAGCTGAGAATTTGGGGCACAGCCAGTGCAGGACTGGGACATGGGGACAGGAAAGGGGTGAGGGCTTGGGGTGTGGGGAAGGGTCTGGGACACGGGGACAGGGTCAATAGCATAGGCCTCATTATAACCAGCCCAACCAGCAGCACCCTTGGCACAGAAATAGGAGCCGGAATCCTCGTCCTTGAGGCTGTTCATGGTCAGCGTCACCGAGCTCTGCCCGTTGTCCCTGGAGATCATGAACCGGCCCTTGACCGATGACGCGTACGCGGTGCTGGAACCATCGCTCCAGATCCCCACGAGCCACTCCAGCGTCTGCCCAGGCCTTTGGCGGACCCAGCTCATCCCAAATTTCCCAAAATCAAACCCGGATGCTCGGCAGAGGAGGCGCAGGGAGCCCCCGGGGGGCTGGAGGTGCCCCCGGGCTCCAGCAGGGTCACGGCCGCCCGCAGCCCCAAAGGGAACAAGGGGAGATGGGGACGAGGCCGTGCCAAAGTCAGGAGGAGGTGTCCAATTAATCAATGGCTGGATCGGGGCTCATTGCAGGGTTTAAGGAAATTTTCCACACAGGAAACCCCTGTTGGAGATTTGGGGCCAGGCCAAGGGAATTTGGGGCAGAAGCGGTGAAGGTTTGGGGCTGGGGGAGCGGCCGTGACCCTGCTGGAGCCCGGGGGCACCTCCAGCCCCCCGGGGGCTCCCTGCGCCTCCTCTGCCGAGCATCCGGCTTCGATTTCGGGAATTTTGAAATGGATTGGGTTCGACAGAGGCCCGGGCAGGGGCTGGAATGGGTTGCCAGTATCAAGAGCGATGGTTCCGGCACCTGGTACGCGCCCTCGGTCAAGGGCCGGTTCACGATCTCGAGGGACAACGGGCAGAGCTCGGTGACGCTGACCATGAACAGCCTCAAGGACGAGGATTCTGCCACCTATTTCTGTGCCAAAAGTTCTGGTAACAGCTGTTGCAGTGCTGGTGCTCCTCTTGGTTGGTTTGATCCCATCCTTGCATCCCCACCCGTCCCCATTTTCCAGACTGTTCCCCCATCCCTGTCCCCGTGTCCCAACCCTGCACTGGCTCTGCCCCAATCTCAGCTCCTGGCCCCAAACCTCAGCTCTTGGCTCCAAGGCTCAACCAAGATCCCCAAACCTGGCTGCGAATGGTCGAGATTTGGGGCCAAAAAGGGCCAGATTTGGGTCCCTGGGGGTCAACAATGGGGCCAAGGGTTGGAGGGAAGGACCTGGGGAATGGGGACAGGTGGGGAGCAGGGCCCAGCGCCCAGATATAACCAGCACCATAATTATAGTAACCAGGGACAGATCTGGCACAGAAATAGGACCCGGAATCCTCGTCCTTGAGGCTGTTCATGGTCAGCATCACCGAGCTCTGCCCGTTGTCCCTGGTGATGCTGACCTGGCCCTGCACCCAGGGCACGTAGACGGTGTAACCCCCACCGCCGTAGTAGATACTGGCGACGTATTCCAGCCCCTGCCCGGGCCTCTGGCGCATCCAGCCTATCCCAAAGTTCCCAAAATCGAAGCCGGAGCCGCGGCAGAGGAGGCGCAGGGAGCCCCCGGGGGGCTGGAGGTGCCCCCGGGCTCCAGCAGGGTCACGGCCGCCTGCAGCCCCAAAGGGAACAAGGGGAGATGGGCACGAGAAACCTGATTGGTCGGGGGCCTCAAAGTGGGTGTGGTCAGCTAGAAACAGGGACAGGACCCACGTGGGAGGAGGAGGATGAACTGCAAGGGTCCCAGTTTGGGGCCCAGGGTCGGGGTTTGGGTCCAGGGCTGAGCTTTGGCCGTGCCCATCTCCGAGCATCCGGCTTCGATTTCGGCAATTCTACATGGGCTGGATGCGCCAGAGGCCCGGGCAGGGGCTGGAATACGTCGCACAGATCAGCAGCGATGGTGGTTACACCGAATACGCGCCCTCGGTCAAGGGCCGGTTCAGGATCTCCAGGGACAACGGGCAGAGCTCGGTGACGCTGACCATGAACAGCCTCAAGGACCAGGATTCCGCCGTCTATTTCTGTTCCAAGGGTACAGACGGTTACGGTGCTTATGCTGATGCTGGTTGGGGATGGGGTCATGGCCGGCCCCGTCAATATATCCAGCACCATTAGCATTCCAACCAGCACCAGCACCAGCAGATTTGGCACAGAAATAGACGGCGGAATCCTGGTCCTTGAGGCTGTTCATGGTCAGCGTCACCGAGCTCTGCCCGTTGTCCCTGGAGATCCTGAACCGGCCCTTGACCGAGGGCGCGTATCTGGTGTCACCACCATTGCTGCTGATACTTGCCACGAATTCCAGCCCCTGCCCGGGCCTCTGGTGGACCCAGAACATCCAAAAACTCCCAAAATCGAAGCCGGATGCTCGGCAGAGGAGGCGCAGGGAGCCCCCGGGGGGCTGGAGGTGCCCCCGGGCTCCAGCAGGGTCACGGCCGCTCCCCCAGCCCCAAACCTTCGCTGCTTCTGCCCCAAATTCCCTTGGCCTGGCCCCAAATCTCCAACAGAGGTTTCCTGTATGGAAAATTTCCTAAAACCCTGCAATGAGCCCCGATCCAGCCATTGATTAATTGGACACCTCCTCCTGACTTTGGCACGGCCTCATCCCCATCTCCCCTTGTTCCCTTTGGGGCTGCGGGCGGCCGTGACCCTGCTGGAGCCCGGGGGCACCTCCAGCCCCCCGGGGGCTCCCTGCGCCTCCTCTGCCGCAGCTCCGGCTTCGATTTTGGCAATTTTGGCATGCAATGGATCCGCCAGAGGCCCGGGCAGGGGCTGGAATACGTCGCAGGGATCCAAAGCAATGGTGGCAACCCCAGCTACGCGTCCTCGGTCAAGGGCCGGTTCAGGATCTCCAGGGACAACGGGCAGAGCTCGGTGACGCTGACCATGAACAGCCTCAAGGACGAGGATTCTGCCACCTATTTCTGTGCCAAATCTACTGGTGCTGGTGCTTTTTGGGGTGCTTATGGTGCTGCTGATATTGACGGCGCCGGCCATGACCCCATTCCCAGCCAGCATCACCATCAGCACCGTCACCGTCTGCATCCCTGGCACAGGAACAGGACCCGGAATCCTCGTCCCTGAGGCCGTTCATGGTCAGCGTCACCGAGCTCTGCCCGTTGTCCCTGCAGATCCTGACCCGAGCTCGTGTCCCAGGGGCTGCCTGCGCTGCTGATTGAGGCAGAGAATTCCGGGGCCCGCCCGGGTCTCTGGCGGATCCAGAGCATGGGGGAACTCCCTGGGGAGGATTCCGGGTCCTGTTCCTGTGCCAGGGATGCAGACGGTGACGGTGCTGATGGTGATGCTGGTTGGGGATGGGGTCATGGCTGGTGCCGTCAATACGACCAGCATAATAACCAGCACCAGCACCAGCAGCCTTGGCACAGAAATAGACGGCGGAATCCTCGTCCTTGAGGCTGTTCATGGTCAGCGTCACCGAGCTCTGCCCGTTGTCCCTGGAGATCGTGAACCGGCCCCGCACCGAGGGCGCGTAGTTGGTGTAAGCACCATTGTTGTTGATTCTCGTGACCCATTCCAGCCCCTGCCCGGGCCTCTGGCGCATCCAGCCCATCCCAAATTTCCCGAAATCGAACCCAGAGCCTCGGCAGAGGAGGCGCAGGGAGCCCCCGGGGGGCTGGAGGTGCCCCCGGGCTCCAGCAGGGTCACGGCCGCCCGCAGCCCCAAAGGGAACAAGGGGAGATGGGGATGAGGCCGTGCCAAAGTCAGGAGGAAGTGTCCAATTAATCAATGGCTGGATCGGGGCTCATTGCAGGGTTTAAGGAAATTTTCCACACAGGAAACCTCTGTTGGAGATTTGGGGCCAGGCCAAGGGAATTTGGGGCAGAGGCAGCGAAGGTTTGGGGCTGGGGGAGCGGCCGTGACCCTGCTGGAGCCCGGGGGCACCTCCAGCCCCCCGGGGGCTCCCTGCGCCTCCTCTGCCGCGGCTCCGGCTTCGATTTTGGGAACTTTGGGATGGGCTGGATGCGCCAGAGGCCCGGGCAGGGGCTGGAATACGTCGCCAGTACCAACACTGGTGGCAGCACCGACTACGCGTCCTCGGTCAAGGGCCGGTTCACGATCTCCAGGGACAACGGGCAGAGCTCGGTGACGCTGACCATGAACAGCCTCAAGGACGAGGATTCCGGCTCCTATTTCTGTGCCAAATATGCTGCTGGTGGTTATTGGGGTAATGCTGCTGCTGCTTTTCGTTTTGACCCCATCCCTGTCTCTGTGTCCCCCCTGTCCCCGTGCCCCAGGCCCTTCCCTCCAACCCCTGACCCCTCTCCTGTCCCTTTCTCCCACCCTTGCCCTGCTCTGGCCCCAAATTTCAGCTCCTGGCCCCAAATCAGGGCCAGTTCCACGCTCAGCTCAGCCTCGGCCCTCAAACCCCAACCATTTCCGCCCAACTGGACCCGTTCTGCCCCAAAATTTCAGTGGTGGAACCGAGTCACAGCCACGCACCCAAATCTGGCCCGTTGGCCTCACATTAGGACTTTTGGGCCAAAATTTAAAATCTTGACACCATAACTCAACCTTCATGCAAAATTTTGAAAAATTGAATATAATTTGGAGAACGAGGGCACTGAGTGTGGCCCAGAGGTGACATTTGGGGCAGGGCCAGAGCAGGGCTGGGACAGAGGGTCAGGAATGGGGTCAGGGCTTGGGCTTTGGGGAAAGGGTCTGGGGAATGGGGACAGGAGGGGAAACGGGGACAGGGCCGGGGTCAAAACCCTCAGCAGCAGGATTATCATAGTGAACATCGGCGTGTTTGGCACAGAAATAGGAGCCGGAATCCTCGTCCTTGAGGCCGTTCATGGTCAGCGTCACCGAGCTCTGCCCGTTGTCCCTGGAGATCCTGAAACGGCCCCGCGCCGAGGGTGCGTAGTAGGTGCCACCACTGCTGTGGATACTTGCGAGCCATTCCAGCCCCTGCCCGGGCCTCTGTCGATACCAGCCCATCCCAAATTTGCCGAAATCAAAGCCGGATGCTTGGCAGAGGAGGCGCAGGGAGCCCCCGGGGGGCTGGAGGTGCCCCCGGGCTCCAGCAGGGTCACGGCCGCTCCCCCAGCCCCAAACCTTCGCTGCTTCTGCCCCAAATTCCCTTGGCCTGGCCCCAAATCTCCAGCAGAGGTTTCCTGTATGGAAAATTGCCTTAAACCCTGCAATGAGCCCCGATCCAGCCATTGATTCATTGGACACCTCCTCCTGACTTTGGCACGGCCTCATCCCCATCTCCCCTTGTTCCCTTTGGGGCTGCGGGCGGCCGTGACCCTGCTGGAGCCCGGGGGCACCTCCAGCCCCCCGGGGGCTCCCTGCGCCTCCTCTGCCGCGGCTCTGGGTTTGATTTTGGACGAACCAGTCTAATGTGGATCCGCCAGAGGCCCGGGCAGGGGCTGGAATACGTCGCAGGGATTGACTACGATGGTGACACCAGATACCCGTCATCGTTCAAGGGCCGGTTCACGATCTCCAGGGACAACGGGCAGAGCTCGGTGACGCTGACCATGAACAGCCTCAAGGACGAGGATTCCGCCGTCTATTTCTGTGCCAAAGCTGCTGATGCTGGTGCTGGTTATTGGGGTGCTGATGCTGTTGCTTATATTCCCCATGCCGGTGGTGTCGCCACCCCTGTCTGAGCCCCTCTTGTCCCCACTCCCCAGACCCTTCCCCCAAATCTCAGCCCTTGACCCCATTCTTGACCCTTTGCCCCAGGTCTCCCCCATTTCCCGCAATGGTGACCAAAGACCCCAAACCCCAACTGGTTCTGCCCCAAACCCAAGCGGTTTGGCCCCAAAACTCGCCCGATTCTGCCCCAAATCCCCACTTGGGGCTCCCGGCCGCAGCCGCTGACCCAAACCTCCCCCGCTCTGCCCAGATCGGGGCCCTTTGGGCGCTTTTGGGGCGCGAGGCTGAGATGTGGGGCCAAGAGCTGAGTCTGGGGCCGGAGCCAGGGGAGGGTTTGGGGCCCATGGGGCAGCGTTGGTGCAAAGGGGGCAGGGCTGGGACCAAGGCTCGGGGTGAAGGTTTGGGGCCAATGGTTGAGTTTGGGGCTGGAGCAGGCGAGGGTTTGGGGTCAGTGCTGGCCATGGGGGGAAATGGGGACAAAGGGGCAGGGCTGGGGCAGGGGGTGGGGTTTGGGGGAAGGGTCAGGGGAACGAGGACAGGGGGGGACACTGAGATGGGGATGGCGTCAAAACCATGAGCAGCAACAGCAGCAGCATCAGCAGCAGCCCAACCAGCATTGACACGTTTGGCACAGAAATAGGAGCCGGAATCCTCGTCCTTGAGGCTGTTCATGGTCAGCGTCACCGAGCTCTGCCCGTTGTCCCTGGAGATCCTGAACCGGCCCTGCACCGAGGGCGCGTATCTGGTGTCACCACCATTGCTGTCGATACTTGCAACCCATTCCAGCCCCTGCCCGGGCCTTTGGCACATCCAGAACATCCAAAAATTGCCAAAATCGAAGCCGGATGCTCGGCAGAAGAGGCGCAGGGAGCCCCCGGGGGGCTGGAGGTGCCCCCGGGCTCCAGCAGGGTCACGGCCGCCCGCAGCCCCAAAGGGAACAAGGGGAGATGGGCACGAAAAACCTGATTGGTCCAGGGCCTCCAAGTGGGTGTGGCCTGCAGGGAAAAGGGACAGGACCCACGTGGGAAGAGGAGGATGAACTGCAAGGGTCCCAGTTTGGGGCCCAGGGTCAGGGTTTGGGTCCAGGGCTGAGCTTTGGCCGTGCCCATCTCCCCTTTTTCCCTTTGGGGCTGCGGGCGGCCGTGACCCTGCTGGAGCCCGGGGGCACCTCCAGCCCCCCGGGGGCTCCCTGCGCCTCCTCTGCCGCGGCTCTGGGTTCGATTTCAGGAGTTTTGGGATGAGCTGGGTGCGCCAGAGACCTGGGCAGGGGCTGGAGTGCATCGCAGGGATCAGCAGCAATGCTGGTTGGACCGGGTACGCGTCCTCGGTGCAGGGCCGGTTCAGGATCTCCAGGGACAACGGGCAGAGCTCGGTGACGCTGACCATGAACAGCCTCAAGGACGAGGATTCCGGCTCCTATTTCTGCGCCAAATCTGCCGGTGCTAGTGGAAGTTGGGGTGCTGCTGCTGCTGCTGTTGGGGCTTTTTGGCCCCGTCCCCATCCCCGTGTCCCCTCCTGTCCCCGTGTCCCAGACCCTTCCCCACACCCCCAGCCCTGACCCCATTCCTGTCCCCGTGTCCCAGCCCTGAACGGGCTCTGCCCCAATCTCAGCTCCTGGCCCCAAATCTCAGCTCTTGGCTCCAAGGCTCAACCAAGGTCCCCAACCCTGGGTGCGAATGGTCGAGATTTGGGGCCAAAACGGGCCAGATTTGGGTCCGTGGGTGTCAACAATGGGGCCAAGGGTTGGAGGGAAGCACCTGGGGAATGGGGACAGGTGGGGTCTCATGGGGCCAGGGTCAATAGATTCCAGGGCCCCAGCAGCAATGTTAGCACTGGACTCTTTGGCGCAGAAATAGGAGCCGGAATCCTCGTCCTTGAGGCCGTTCATGGTCAGGGCCATGGAGCTCTGCCCGTTGTCCCTGGAGATGCTGACCCGGCCCCGCAGTGAGGGCGCCTGGTAGGAGCCGCCGTGGCTGTCGATGGCTGCGACCCATTCCAGCCCCTGCCCGGGCCTCTGGCGGATCCAGTGCAGATCAGAACGGCCGAAATCGAAGCCGGAGCCGCGGCAGAGGAGGCGCAGGGAGCCCCCGGGGGGCTGGAGGTGCCCCCGGGCTCCAGCAGGGTCACGGCCGCTCCCCCAGCCCCAAAGGGAACAAGGGGAGATGGCCATGAGAAACCTGATTGGTCCGGGGCCCCAAAGTGGGCGTGGCCTGCAGGGAAAAGGGACAGGACCCACCCGGGAGGAGGATGAACCCCAAGGGTCCCAGTTTGGGGCCCAGGGTCAGGGTTTGGGTCCAGGGCTGAGCTTTGGCCGTGCCCATCTCCCCTTGTTCCCTTTGGGGCTGCGGGCGGCCGTGACCCTGCTGGAGCCCGGGGGCACCTCCAGCCCCCCGGGGGCTCCCTGGCGTTGCTGTGCCGCGCATCCGGGTTCAATTTCGGGGGTCACTCAATGCAATGGATCCGCCAGAGGCCCGGGCAGGGGCTGGAATGGATCGCTGGGATCCACAGCAGTGGGGGCTACACCTACTACGCGCCCTCGGTGCGGGGCCGGTTCAGGATCTCCAGGGACAACGGGCAGAGCTCGGTGACGCTGGCCATGAACGACCTCAAGGACGAGGATTCCGGCTCCTATTTCTGTGCCAAAGCTGCTGGGGCTGATGGGGATGATAATGATGCCTGTGGTTATGGCTCCGCCCCCATCGTGGAATTGGAAATCGGGGCAGTGATGGTGGAGTTTGGGGGAAAATGGCGAAGATTTGAGAAACGGGGCTGGGAATTGCAGGAAGGATCAGAGGATTTGGGGATATTTGGGAACAGAGAGGAGAGGGCCTGGGGCCAGAACCACCATCAACACCATAACCGGCAGCAGCAGCAGGATAAACACAATTACTGCTGAAACATTTGGCGCAGAAATAGGAGCCGGAATCCTCGTCCTTGAGGCTGTTCATGGTCAGCGTCACCGAGCTCTGCCCGTTGTCCCTGGAGATCCTGAAACGGCCCTTGACCGAGGGCGCGTAGTTGGTGCTGCCACCACTGTTGCTGATCCCTGCCATGAATTCCAGCCCCTGCCCGGGCCTCTGGCGGATCCAGAACATGGTGAAACTGCCGAAACTGAACCCGGAGCCACGGCAGAGGAGGCGCAGGGAGCCCCCGGGGGGCTGGAGGTGCCCCCGGGCTCCAGCAGGGTCACGGCCGCCCGCAGCCCCAAAGGGAACAAGGGGAGATGGGCACGAGAAACCTGATTGGTCGAGAGCCTCCAAGTGGGTGTGGTCAGCTCACAACAGGGGCAGGACCCACCTGAGAGGGTCCCCAGGAGGAGGATGGGCCGGGCCAAGTGTCACCATGCGGGGCCCAGCCAGGCTCTGCCCGAATTTCCCCTCCTCTGCTCCTCCCAAGGGCGGGGACTGAACCCCCCAGCCCGGGCAGGCGTGTGGGGCCCAAGGCTGAGCAGAGCGAGAATTTCGCCTGCAGGATGTGAGCGCTGGGCCAAGGAGCCAACGGCTCTGGTTTGGTGCTGAGGCCTTGGGCTCCCTGCCACACCTGCTCCTTATGGGATCTGCTTCCCCTGCCCTTGGCAATTTCCAATAAAAACCTCGGAGTCTGCCCGGGATCTTGAGAGCTCCCCAGCGTAACAGGGGTCGATCCTCGGCTGGATGGGACCAAAGGAGTTCGTGTCTACGTTTGGCAGCCATATCCATATCCCCCCTCTCTCTCTCTCCCTTTCTCTCTATTTTTCTCTCCCTTAATCCCTCTATCGCCTTTTGCTGTGGCCATTCAATAAAGGTGCGTTTGTTTGGATCATCACTGCGAACCCCCTGTGCCGGGTCGGTTCCTTTGGCACCCTCAGATCAAACCCAGAACCCTCAGGAAACCCCTCCGTGAGGGCGGATGGTGACACACGGGGATGGGGACGGGGTCAAAGCGATAAGCACCAGCATAACTGCAACTATTGTCAGCAGCCTTGGCACAGAAATAGACGGCGGAATCCTCGTCCTTGAGGCTGTTCATGGTCAGCGTCACCGAGCTCTGCCCGTTGTCCCTGGAGATCGTGAAACGGCCCTTGACTGAGGGCGCGTAGTAGGTGCTGCCACCGCTGCAGATCCCTGCGAGCCACTCCAGCCCCTGTCCGGGCCTCTGGCGGATCCATTGCATGGCAAAATTCCCAAAATCGAACCCGGATGCTCGGCAGAGGAGGCGCAGGGAGCCCCCGGGGGGCTGGAGGTGCCCCCGGGCTCCAGCAGGGTCACGGCCGCCCGCAGCCCCAAAGGGAACAAGGGGAGATGGGGATGAGGCCGTGCCAAAGTCAGGAGGAGGTGTCCAATTAATCAATGGTGGATCGGGGCTCATTGCAGGGTTTTAGGAAATTTTCCACACAGGAAACCTCTGTTGGAGATTTGGGGCCAGGCCAAGGGAATTTGGGGCAGAAGCAGCGAAGGTTTGGGGCTGGGGGAGCGGCCGTGACCCTGCTGGAGCCCGGGGGCACCTCCAGCCCCCCGGGGGCTCCCTGCGCCTCCTCTGCCGAGGCTCTGGGTTCGATTTTGGGAAATTTGGGATGGTCTGGATCCGCCAGAGGCCCAGGCAGGGGCTGGAATTCGTGGCCAGTATCTACAGCAATGGTGGCAGCACCGTGTACGCGGATTCCCTCAAGGGCCGGTTCAGGATCTCCAGGGACAACGGGCAGAGCTCGGTGACGCTGACCATGAACAGCCTCAAGGACGAGGATTCCGGCTCCTATTTCTGCGCCAAGTGTTCTGATGCTGGTTGGGCTGATGCTGTTGCTTATAATATTGACCCCGTCCCCGTGTCCCCTCCTGTCCCCGTGTCCCAGCTCTGAACGGGCTCTGCCCCAATCTCAGCTCCTGGCCCCAAACCTCAGCTCTTGGCTCCAAGGCTCAACCACGGTCCCCAAACCTGGGTGCGAATGGTCGAGATTTGGGGCCAAAAAGGGCCAGATTTGGGTCCGTGGGGGTCAACAATGGGGCCAAGGGTTGGAGGGAAGCACCTGGGGAATGGGAGAGGTGGGGACAGAGCGATGGGCATGGGGTCAAAGTTAGAACCAGCAGCATGAGCCTCCCAACCCCAACCACCATAAGCGTTTTTGGCACAGAAATAGGAGCCGGAATCCTCGTCCTTGAGGCCGTTCATGGTCAGCGTCACCGAGCTCTGCCCGTTGTCCCTCGAGATCCTGACCCGGCCCCGCACCGAGGGCGCGTATTCGGTGCTGCCACCAGGGTTGATACTGGCGACATATTCCAGCCCCTGCCTGGGCCTTTGGCGGATCCAGAACATTCCAAAGCTCCCGAAACTGAACCCGGAGCCTCGGCAGAGGAGGCGCAGGGAGCCCCCGGCCATGTGGGGGCTCCTCGGGGCGTTTGGGCTCACGGGAATGCAAAGGGCTGAGTTTCGAGTCAGAGCCGTTCCAAGTTTCTGCTGGAGGCGGGGCCGGATCAGCCCCATCCTCCTCCTGCTGCTCCCGACAGTGCCAGGGCCGCGCCCGGAGCCGGGGCCTCATCCCCATCTCCCCTTTTTATCCACAGGGCCCCGGGCGGCCGTGACCCTGCTGGAGCCCGGGGGCACCTCCAGCCCCCCGGGGGCTCCCTGCGCCTCCTCTGCCGAGCATCCGGCTTCGATTTCAGGAAATTTGGGATGGGCTGGATGCGCCAGAGGCCCGGGCAGGGCCTGGAATGGGTCGCGAGTATCCGAAGCAATGGTGGCTACACCAGATACGCGCCCTCGGTCAAGGGCCGGTTCACGATCTCGAGGGACAACGGGCAGAGCTCGGTGACGCTGACCATGAACAGCCTCAAGGACGAGGATTCCGCCGTCTATTTCTGTGCCAAGGATACAGACGGTGACGGTGTTTATGGTGATGCTGGTTGGGAATGGGGTCATGGAGAGCGCCGTCAATATCAGCAGCGAGAGCAGCACCACCAGCCCCAGCAGCCTTGGCGCAGAAATAGACGGCGGAATCCTCGTCCTTGAGGCTGTTCATGGTCAGCGTCACCGAGCTCTGCCCGTTGTCCCTGGAGATTGTGAAACGGCCCTGCACCGAGGGCGCGTAGTAGGTGCCAGAACCACTGCTGCTGATCTCTGCGACGTACTCCAGCCCCTGCCCGGGTCTCTGTCGATACCAGCCCATCCAGAATTTCCCAAAATCGAAGCCGGATGCTCGGCAGAGGAGGCGCAGGGAGCCCCCGGGGGGCTGGAGGTGCCCCCGGGCTCCAGCAGGGTCACGGCCGCTCCCCCAGCCCCAAACCTTCGCTGCTTCTGCCCCAAATTCCCTTGGCCTGGCCCCAAATCTCCAACAGAGCTTTCCTGCATGGAAAATTGCCTTAAACCCTGCAATGAGCCCCGATCCAGCCATTGATTAATTGGACACCTCCTCCTGACTTTGGCACGGCCTCATCCCCATCTCCCCTTGTTCCCTTTGGGGCTGCGGGCGGCCGTGACCCTGCTGGAGCCCGGGGGCACCTCCAGCCCCCCGGGGGCTCCCTGCGCCTCCTCTGCCGAGCATCCGGCTTCGATTTTGGGAGTTTCCCCATGCTCTGGATCCGCCAGAGGCCCAGGCAGGGGCTGGAGTGGCTCGCAGGGATCAGCACCAGTGGTTACACCGTGTACGCACCCTCGGTCAAGGGCCGTTTCACGATCTCGAGGGACAACGGGCAGAGCTCGGTGACACTGGCCATGAACAGCCTCAAGGACCAGGATTCCGCCACCTATTTCTGTGCCAAATCTGCTGTTGCTGGTGCTGGATGGAATGGTAATGCTGCTGCTCGTATTGACGGCGCTCTCCATGACCCCATCCCCAACCAGCATCACCATCAGCACCGTCACCGTCTGCATCCCTGGCACAGGAACTGGACCCGGAATCCTCGTCCCTGAGGCCGTTCATGGTCAGCGTCACCGAGCTCTGCCCGTTGTCCCTGCAGATCCTGACACGGCCCCGCACCCATGGAACGTTCCAGGCGAATCCACCCTTGGGCCCATCTGCCTCTCTCAGCGTGGAGCCCTTGGCCCAGATCAATTTGTGCAATTTAATTTCCTAACACTTTCACGTGGGTTTTGGGGGGATAAAAAAGGGTTTTTCCTGGAGAGCCCCAAGGGAGGATTCCAGCCCCAAACCCAGGGAGCGGCCCCCGGACATCCCGGCCGGTGAGGAGGAAGGGCAGCCCCAGGTGGGAGGAGGAGGAGGAGGAGAAGAAGCCTCGATTTTGGGGCTCCCCCCAGTTCCTCCCTGGCAGCTGCCGGGGCGCGGCCGGGGCAGGAAAGGAAACAGAAAGTTCCTGGTTTGGGTCGTTTTTAGCGCCGGTGTTTGACAGAGGGGAGTTCAGCTGCCGGGCGCCTCAGCAGAGCCGCAGCTGCACAAAAAGCTTTGGGCCCAAAGCGCCCCGGGCTGAGCCCCACGGCGAGCTGGGAGGGAGGGGAAGGGCCAGAGGGGGGAGAAATGGGCAAAAAACTGGGGGAAAGTCCTGGGTTGGAGCAGCTGGGGCGGAGTTTGGGGGAAAATGGTGAAGATTTGAGAAACGGGGCTGGGAATTGAGGGAAGGATCAGAGGATTTGGGGATTCTTGGGAACAGAGAGGAGAGGGCCTGGGGCCAGAACCACCATCAACACCATAACCAGCAGCAGCAGGATAAACACAATTACTGCTGAAACATTTGGCACAGAAATAGGAGCCGGAATCCTCGTCCTTGAGGCTGTTCATGGTCAGCGTCACCGAGCTCTGCCCGTTGTCCCTGGAGATCCTGAGCTGGCCCTTGACCGAGGACGCGTAGTTGGTGGTGCCACCACTGTTGCTGATCCCTGCGACGAATTCCAGCCCCTGCCTGGGCCTCTGGCGGATCCAGAACATGACAAAGTTCCCGAAATCGAACCCGGATGCTCGGCAGAGGAGGCGCAGGGAGCCCCCGGGGGGCTGGAGGTGCCCCCGGGCTCCAGCAGGGTCACGGCCGCCCGCAGCCCCAAAGGGAACAAGGGGAGATGGGGATGAGGCCGTGCCAAAGTCAGGAGGAGGTGTCCAATTAATCAAGGGTGGATTGGGGCTCATTGCAGGGTTTAAGGAAATTTTCCACACAGGAAACCTCTGTTGGAGATTTGGGGCCAGGCCAAGGGAATTTGGGGCAGAAGCAGCGAAGGTTTGGGGCTGGGGGAGCGGCCGTGACCCTGCTGGAGCCCGGGGGCACCTCCAGCCCCCCGGGGGCTCCCTGCGCCTCCTCTGCCGAGCATCCGGGTTCAGTTTCGGGAGCTTTGCCATGGAATGGATCCGCCAGAGACCCGGGCAGGGTCTGGAGTGGCTCGCGGGGATCAACAGCAATGGTGGCAGCACCTACTACGCGCCCTCGGTCAAGGGCCGGTTCACGATCTCCAGGGACAACGGGAAGAGCTCGGTGACGCTGACCATGAACAGCCTCAAGGACGAGGATTCTGCCACCTATTTCTGCGCCAAAGATGCTGCTGGTGGTGGTGCTAATGGTGCTGCTGATATTGACGGCGCCGGCCATGACCCCATCCCCAACCACCATCACCATCAGCACCGTCACCGTCTGCATCCCTGGCACAGGAACAGGACCCGGAATCCTCCCCAGGGAGTTCCCCCATGCTCTGGATCCGCCAGAGACCCGGGCAGGCCCCAGAATTCTCTGCCTGAATCAGCAGCGCTGGCAGCCCCTGGGACACGAGCTCGGGTCAGGATCTGCAGGGACAACGGGCAGAGCTCGGTGACGCTGACCATGAACAGCCTCAAGGACGAGGATTCCGCCGTCTATTTCTGTGCCAAGGGTAGAGACGGTTACGGTGCTTATGCTGATGCTGGTTGGGGATGGGGTCATGGCCGGCCCCATCAATATATCCAGCACCATTACCATTCCAACCAGCACCAGCACCAGCAGATTTGGCACAGAAATAGGTGGCGGAATCCTCGTCCTTGAGGCTGTTCATGGTCAGCGTCACCGAGCTCTGCCCGTCGTCCCTGGAGATCCTGACCCGGCCCTTGACTGAGGGCGCGTATCTGGTGTCACCACCACTGTTGATCCCCGCGAGCCATTCCAGCCCCTGCCCGGGCCTTTGGCGGATCCAGAACATTCCAAAGCTCCCGAAACTGAACCCGGAGCCTCGGCAGAGGAGGCGCAGGGAGCCCCCGGCCATGTGGGGGCTCCTCGGGGCGTTTGGGCTCACGGGAATGCAAAGGGCTGAGTTTCGAGTCAGAGCCGTTCCAAGTTTCTGCTGGAGGCGGGGCCGGATCAGCCCCATCCTCCTCCTGCTGCTCCCGACAGTGCCAGGGCCGCGCCCGGAGCCGGGGCCTCGTCCCCATCTCCCCTTTTTATCCACAGGGCCCCGGGCGGCCGTGACCCTGCTGGAGCCCGGGGGCACCTCCAGCCCCCCAGGGGCTCCCTGCGCCTCCTCTGCCGCAGCTCCGGCTTCAATTTTGGCAATTTTGCAATGCAATGGATCCGCCAGAGGCCCGGGCAGGGGCTGGAATACGTCGCAAGTATCCACAGCAGTGGTGGCACCTACTACGCGCCCTCGGTGCGGGGCCGTTTCACGATCTCCAGGGACAACGGGCAGAGCTCGGTGACGCTGACCATGAACAGCCTCAAGGACGAGGATTCCAGGTCCTATTTCTGTGCCAAACGCGATGCTCCTGGTTGGGGTTGGGCTGATGCTGGTTATGGTGGAGACGCCACTTGTGGATCCATCCCCATCTCCGTGTCCCCAAATGTCCCCAAACCCCAGACCCTTCCCCCAAACCTCACCCCCTGCCCCAGCCCTGCCCCTTTGTCCCCATTTCCCCCCATGGCCAGCACTGACCCCAAACCCTCGCCTGGTTTTGCCCCAAAACTCAACCATTGGCCCCAAACCTTCACCCCTGGCCTCCAGTTCTGGCCTCCTCCAGTCAGGGCCCAAGGAGCTGGGGCAGATTTGGGGGGAACGGACACAATGGGAGGAAAGTTGAGAGTTGGGGCAGAAGGGGCAGAGTTTGGGGGAAAATGGAGAAGTTTTCAGGACAAGGGCTGGGATCTGGGGGGAAGATCTCTGGGGAGTGGAGACATTTGGTGACCATCATGGGGCTGGGAACACTGACAGCATTGCTCCCAATACGAGCAGCAAGTTCACTGCCGTAACCATTACTATTGCGTTTGGCACAGAAATAGGAGCCGGAATCCTCGTCCTTGAGGCTGTTCATGGCCAGCGTCACCGAGCTCTGCCCGATGTCCCTGGAGATCGTGAACCGGCCCTTGACCGAGGGCGCGTAGTCGGTGCTGCCACCACTGCTGCTGATACTGGCGACGTATTCCAGCCCCTGCCCGGGCCTTTGGCGGACCCAATACATCCCAAAGTTCCCAAAATCGAAGCCGGATGCTCGGCAGAGGAGGCGCAGGGAGCCCCCGGGGGGCTGGAGGTGCCCCCGGGCTCCAGCAGGGTCACGGCCGCCTGGGGCCCTGTGGATAAAAAGGGGAGATGGGGATGAGGCCCCGGCTCCGGGCGCGGCCCTGGCACTGTCGGGAGCAGCAGGAGGAGGAGGATGGGGCTGATCCGGCCCCGCCTCCAGCAGAAACTTGGAACGGCTCTGACTCGAAACTCAGCCCTTTGCATTCCCGTGAGCCCAAACGCCCCGAGGAGCCCCCACATGGCCGGGGGCTCCCTGCGCCTCCTCTGCCGAGGCTCCGGGTTCAGTTTCGGGAGCTTTGGAATGTTCTGGATCCACCAGAGGCCCGGGCAGGGCCTGGAATACGTTGCCAGTATCAACCCTGGTGGCAGCACCAGATACGCGCCCTCGGTGCGGGGCCGGTTCAGGATCTCCAGGGACATCGGGCAGAGCTCGGTGACGCTGACCATGAACAGCCTCAAGGACGAGGATTCCGGCTCCTATTTCTGTGCCAAAAACGCTTATGATGGTTGGGGTTGGGAGGCTCATGCTGCTGGTTCTAACTTTGACCCCATGCCCATCGCTCTGTCCCCGCCTGTCCCCATTCCCCAGGTGCTTCCCTCCAACCCTTGGCCCCATTGTTGACCCCCACGGACCCAAATCTGGCCCTTTTTGGCCCCAAATCTCGACCATTTGCATCCAGGTTTGGGGACCTTGGTTGAGCCTTGGAGCCAAGAGCTGAGGTTTGGGGCCAGGAGCTGAGATTTGGGGCAGAACCAGCTCAGTTTGGGACCAATGGTCACAAGTGAACCCTGTTGAGATCTGGCGAACAAAGGGCACAGTTTTGGGGATGAATCTCTGAGATCTGGGTCAAATGCCCAAATCTGCAAGAACTGTGAGAGGCGAGGAAATGGTCCTGGAGATTGAGGCAAAACGGTCAAGATTCACTTTTAGGAGTCGAGATTTGAGGGTAGAATGTGGGAATTTTGAGGTGTCAGTGGATGCAACATCTGGGGTGGGTCCACCGCTGGCAATGCCAATAAGGTGAGCACCATAAGCACCATAAGCACCATAAGCACCATAAGGACCATAAGCATCAGCAGATTTGGCACAGAAATAGACGGCGGAATCCTCGTCCTTGAGGCTGTTCATGGTCAGCGTCACCGAGCTCTGCCCGTTGTCCCTGGAGATCCTGAACCGGCCCCGCACCGAGGGCGCGTAGTTGGTGTAAGCACCATCGTTGTTGATTCTCGTGACCCATTCCAGCCCCTGCCCGGGCCTCTGGCGCATCCAGCCCATCCCAAATTTCCCGAAATCGAAGCCGGAGCCGCGGCAGAGGAGGCGCAGGGAGCCCCCGGGGGGCTGGAGGTGCCCCCGGGCTCCAGCAGGGTCACGGCCGCTCCCCCAGCCCCAAAGGGAACAAGGGGAGATGGGCACGGCCAAAGCTCAGCCCTGGAGCCAAACCCTGACCCTGGGCCCCAAACTGGGACCCTTGCAGTTCATCCTCCTCCTCCCACGTGGGTCCAATCATGTTTCCCAGCGGGCCACACCCACTTTGCAGCCCTGGACCAATCAGGTTTCTCATGCCCATCTCCCCTTGTTCCCTTTGGGGCTGTGGGCGGCCGTGACCCTGCTGGAGCCCGGGGGCACCTCCAGCCCCCCGGGGGCTCCCTGCGCCTCCTCTGCCGAGGCTCCGGGTTCAGTTTCGGGAGTTCTCCCATGCTCTGGATGCGCCAGAGGCCCGGGCAGGGGCTGGAATACATCGCTGGGATCAGCAGCGATGGTGGTTACACCAACTACGCGCCCTCGGTCAAGGGCCGGTTCACGATCTCCAGGGACAACGGGCAGAGCTCGGTGACGCTGACCATGAACAGCCTCAAGGACGAGGATTCCGCCGTCTATTTCTGTGCCAAATATGCTGCTGCTGGCAATTGGGGTGCTGCTCCAGTTAATCCTTTCGGCCCAGTCCCCAAATCCCAGACCCTTTCCCCAAAGCCCAAGCCCTGACCCCATTCCTGACCCTCTGTCCCAGCCCTGCTCTGGCCCTGCCCCAAATGTCACCTCTGGGCCACACTCAGTGCCCTCGTTCTCCAAATTATATTCAATTTTTCAAAATTTTGGACAAAGGTTGAGTTATGGTGTCAAGATTTTAAATTTTGGCCCAACAGTCCCGATGTGAGGCCAACGGGCCAGATTTGGGTCTGTGGCTGTGACTCGGTGCCAGCAGGGGAGATTTGGGGTAAAACTGGACAAGTCTGGGGGCAACGGTTGGGATTTGGGGGCCGAGGCTGAGCTGAGCGTGGAACCGGCCCTGATTTGGGGCCAGGAGCTGAGATTTGGGGCCAGAGCAGGGCAAGGGTGGGAGAAAGGGTGAGGAGAGGGGTCAGGGGTTGGAGGGAAGGGCCTGGGGCACGGGGACAGGGGGGACACAGAGACAGGGATGGGGTCAAAACGAAAAGCAGCAGCAGCATTACCCCAATAACCACCAGCAGCATATTTGGCACAGAAATAGGAGCCGGAATCCTCGTCCTTGAGGCTGTTCATGGTCAGCGTCACCGAGCTCTGCCCGTTGTCCCTCGAGATCCTGAACCGGCCCTTGACTGAGGACGCGTAGTCGGTGCTGCCACCAGTGTTGGTACTGGCGACGTATTCCAGCCCCTGCCCGGGCCTCTGGCGCATCCAGCCCATCCCAAATTGTCCAAAATCGAAGCCGGAGCCGCGGCAGAGGAGGCGCAGGGAGCCCCCGGGGGGCTGGAGGTGCCCCCGGGCTCCAGCAGGGTCACGGCCGCCCGCAGCCCCAAAGGGAACAAGGGGAGATGGGCACGGCCAAAGCTCAGCCCTGGACCCAAACCCTGACCCTGGGCCCCAAACTGGGACCCTTGCAGTTCATCCTCATCCTCCCACGTGGGTCCTGTCCCTTTTCCCAGCTGGCCACGCCCAATTTGGGGCCCTGGACCAATCAGGTTTCTCGTGCCCATCTCCCCTTTTTCCCTTTGGGGCTGCGGGCGGCCATGACCCTGCTGGAGCCCGGGGGCACCTCCAGCCCCCCGGGGGCTCCCTGCGCCTCCTCTGCCGAGCATCCGGGTTCAGTTTTGGCAATTTTGCCATGGAATGGGTTCGACAGAGACCTGGGCAGGGGCTGGAATACGTCGCAGAAATCAACAGCAATGGTGCTTACACCGACTACGCGGATTCGGTGCGGGGCCGGTTCAGGATCTCCAGGGACAACGGGCAGAGCTCGGTGACGCTGACCATGAACAGCCTCAAGGACGAGGATTCCGGGTCCTATTTCTGCGCCAAATCTGCCTATGGCAATTATTGGGGTGCTGCTGCTTATGGTGCAGGCATCACTTGTGGATCCATCCCCATCTCAGTGTCCCCCCTGTCCCCATTTCCAGACCCTTCTCCCGAATCCCAGCTCTTCACCCTTGGTCCCAAATCTCCCCCATTTCCCCCAATGGTCAGAGCTGGCCCCAAACCCTCCCCTGGTTCTGCCCCAGATCTGAACCATTGGCCCCAAACCTTCACCCCGGGCCTCCCCTTCAGGCCTTGCTCTCCAAGAGTTCCCATTTTTGGCTGTGCCGGCTCCGCCAATCAGGGCCCAGGGAGCTGGGGGAGATTTGGGTGAAATGGGCAAAATTATGGCCAAAGTCGAGACTTGGGGTAACAGGGGAGGAGTTTGGGGAAAACGGCTGAGATTTGGGGAACCTTTGGACAATTCTGGGATATTTGGGAACACAGAGGAAAGGGCCTGGACCACAGTCACCAACAACACCATGAGCACCAGCAGCGTTACCACAACCACTGCTGTAACATTTGGCACAGAAATAGGAGCCGGAATCCTCGTCCTTGAGGCTGTTCATGGTCAGCGTCACCGAGCTCTGCCCGTTGTCCCTCGAGATCGTGAACCGGCCCTTGACCGAGGACGCGTAGCTGGTGCTGCCACCACTGCTGCTGATACTGGCGACGTATTCCAGCCCCTGCCTGGGCCTCTGGCGCATCCAGCCCATCCCAAATTGTCCAAAATCGAACCCGGATGCTCGGCAGAGGAGGCGCAGGGAGCCCCCGGGGGGCTGGAGGTGCCCCCGGGCTCCAGCAGGGTCACGGCCGCTCCCCCAGCCCCAAAGGGAACAAGGGGACATGGGCACGGCCAAAGCTCAGCCCTGGACCCAAACCCTGACCCTGGGCCCCAAACTGGGACCCTTGCAGTTCATCCTCCTTCTCCCAGGTGGGTCCTATCCCTTTTCCCAGCAGGCCACACCCACTTTGGGGCCCTGGACCAATCAGGTTTCTCATCCCCATCTCCCCTTGTTCCCTTTGGGGCTGCGGGCGGCCGTGACCCTGCTGGAGCCCGGGGGCACCTCCAGCCCCCCGGGGGCTCCCTGCGCCTCCTCTGCCGCGGCTCCGGCTTCGATTTCGGCCGTTCTGATCTGCACTGGATCCGCCAGAGGCCTGGGCAGGGGCTGGAATGGGTCGCAGCCATCGACAGCCACGGCGGCTCCTACCAGGCGCCCTCACTGCGGGGCCGGGTCAGCATCTCCAGGGACAACGGGCAGAGCTCCATGGCCCTGACCATGAACGGCCTCAAGGACGAGGATTCCGGCTCCTATTTCTGCGCCAAAGAGTCCAGTGCTAACATTGCTGCTGTGGCCCTGGAATCTATTGACCCTGGCCCCATGAGTCCCCACCTGTCCCCATTCCCCAGGTGCTTCCCTCCAACCCTTGGCCCCATTGTTGACCCCCACGGACCCAAATCTGGCCCTTTTTGGCCCCAAATCTCGACTGTTTGCACCCAGGTTTGGGGACCTTGGTTGAGCCTTGGAGCCAAGAGCTGAGTTTGGGGCCGGAGCCAGGGGAGGGTTTGGGGCCCATGGGGCAGCGTTGGTGCAAAGGGGGCAGGGCTGGGACCAAGGCTCGGGGTGAAGGTTTGGGGCCAATGGTTGAGTTTGGGGCTGGAGCCGGCGAGGGTTTGGGGTCAGTGCTGGCCATGGGGGGAAATGGGGACAAAGGGGCAGGGCTGGGGCAGGGGGTGGGGTTTGGGGGAAGGGTCTGGGGTTTGGGGACAGGTGGGGACACTGAGATGGGGATGGGGTCAAAATGATCATCAGCAGCACCACCCCAACTATTGCCAGCATCTTTGGCGCAGAAATAGGAGCCGGAATCCTCATCCTTGAGGCTGTTCATGGTCAGCGTCACCGAGCTCTGCCCGATGTCCCTGGAGATCGTGAACCGGCCCTTGACCGAATCCGCGTACCAGGGCCTGCCGTACCTGTTGATCACTGCGAGCCATTCCAGCCCCTGCCCGGGCCTCTGTCGAACCCATTCCATGGCAAAACTCCCAAAACTGAACCCGGATGCTCGGCAGAGGAGGCGCAGGGAGCCCCCGGGGGGCTGGAGGTGCCCCCGGGCTCCAGCAGGGTCACGGCCGCTCCCCCAGCCCCAAACCTTCGCTGCTTCTGCCCCAAATTCCCTTGGCCTGGCCCCAAATCTCCAACACAGGTTTCCTGCATGGAAAATTTCCTTAAACCCTGCAATGAGCCCCGATCCACCATTGATTAATTGGACACCTCCTCCTGACTTTGGCACGGCCTCATCCCCATCTCCCCTTGTTCCCTTTGGGGCTGCGGGCGGCCGTGACCCTGCTGGAGCCCGGGGGCACCTCCAGCCCCCCGGGGGCTCCCTGCGCCTCCTCTGCCGCGGCGCTGGCTTTGATTTTGGCAATTTTGGGATGGGCTGGTATCGACAGAGGCCCGGGCAGGGGCTGGAGTTCATTGCACAGATCAACACTGTTGGCACCACCCACTATGGAGAATCGGTCAAGGGCCGGTTCAGGATCTGCAGGGACAACGGGCCGAGCTCGGTGACGCTGACCATGAACAGCCTCAAGGACGAGGATTCCGGCTCCTATTTCTGTGCCAAGGATTCTTATGGTGGCTGGAACGCTGCCCATGCCATGGCTTTAACTCCCGGAGGCTGCGTTGGTGTTTGGGGTTCTGTCCCCATCCCTGTCCCCAGACCCTTCCCCCAAACCTCCCAGACCCAACCCCGACCCTTTGGTCCCAGCCCTGCCCCCTTTGCACCAACGCTGCCCCATGGGCCCCAAACCCTCCCCTGGCTCCGGCCCCACACTCAGCTCTTGGCCCCACATCTCAGCCTCGCGCCCCAAAAGCGCCCAAAGGGCCCCGATCAGGGCACAGCGGGGGAGGTTTGGGGCAGCGGCTGCGGCCGGGAGCCCCAAGTGGGGATTTGGGGCAGAATCGGGCGAGTTTTGGGGCCAAACCGCTTGGGTTTGGGGCAGAGCCATTCAGGGCTTTGTCTCGGTTGTTGGTGGTGCTGGAAATGGGGGAGACCTGGGGCAAAGGGTCAAGAATGGGGTCAGGGGCTGAGATTTGGGGACAAGAGGGGCTCAGACAGAGGTGGTGCCACCACCAGCATGGTCAACATAAGCAGCAGCAGCAGGGCTACCAGTATTGGTAGATTTGGCACAGAAATAGGTGGCGGAATCCTCGTCCTTGAGGCTGTTCATGGTCAGCGTCACCGAGCTCTGCCCGTTGTCCCTCGAGATCGTGAAACGGCCCTTGACCGACGGCGCGTAGTAGGTGCTGCCACCATTGCTGTGGATCCCTGCGATGTATTCCAGTGTCTGCCCGGGCCTCTGTTGAAACCAGCCCATCCCAAATTGTCCGAAACTGAACCCGGATGCTCGGCAGAGGAGGCGCAGGGAGCCCCCGGGGGGCTGGAGGTGCCCCTGGGCTCCAGCAGGGTCACGGCCGCCCGCAGCCCCAAAGGGAACAAGGGGAGATGGGCACGGCCAAAGCTCAGCCCTGGACCCAAACCCTGACCCTGGGCCCCAAACTGGGACCCTTGCAGTTCATCCTCCGCCTCCTCCCACGTGGGTCCTGCCCCTTTTCCCAGCAGGCCACGCCCACTTTGGGGCCCTGGACCAATCAGGTTTCTCGTGCCCATCTCCCCTTGTTCCCTTTGGGGCTGCGGGCGGCCGTGACCCTGCTGGAGCCCGGGGGCACCTCCAGCCCCCCGGGGGCTCCCTGCGCCTCCTCTGCCGAGCATCCGGGTTCAGTTTTGGGAATTTTGGGATGGGCTGGTATCGACAGAGGCCCGGGCAGGGGCTGGAGTGGGTCGCAGATATCAGCAGCGATGGTGCTTACACCAACTACGCGCCCTCGGTGCGGGGCCGGTTCAGGATCTCCAGGGACAACGGGCAGAGCTCGGTGACGCTGACCATGAACAGCCTCAAGGACGAGGATTCCGCCACCTATTTCTGTGCCAAAGCTTCTTGCTCCGGTTGTGTTCCTGCTGCTGGTTATGGTGACGATGCCCTCGATGGCATTGAGCTCCCGTTTTTTGCTCCCTTCCCATGGCTGAGTCCCCAAACTCTCAATTTTTCAACCAAACCTCAGACGTTGTCCACGTCCTTGACTCTTTCTCCTTATTCGGCACAAAATTTGACCACTGACCCTAAAATTCAGCTCTCTGCCCCAAACCTTCCCCCATGTCCTCCAGTTCCAGCCTTCATCCCCAAAATTTCCCACTTTTGCCCCAAATCCTGACACGTTCCTGGCCGGGCTCAGACGCTGCAATCCCGGGCTTGAACTGGGGCTCCTTGGTTCTGCCCCGGCCCACGGAGAAATCCCAAATGGAGATTTCTGCCAGCCCCGCCTCTGCACCGGCTCGACCAATCAGGGCCCAGGGAGCTGGAGAAGATTTGGGTGAAATGGGCAAAACTGGGGGGGAGCAAAGATTTGGGGCAGCAGGGGCAGAGATTGGGGGAAAATGGTGAAGATTTGAGGGGAAGGGCTGGGATTTGGGGAAAGGATTTTTGGGCATTGGAGACGTTTGGCAACGGTCATGGTCACCACCAGAACCAACGGCAAAAACAGCACCAGTAACTGCATTAGCAGCATAAGCATTGCTGCGTTTGGCACAGAAATAGGAGCCGGAATCCTTGTCCTTGAGGCTGCTCATGGTCAGCGTCACCGAGCTCTGCCCGTTGTCCCTGGAGATCGTGAAACGGCCCTTGACCGAATCCGCGTACGCGGTGCCACCACCATCGCTGTTGATACTGGCCACGAATTCCAGCCCCTGTCCAGGCCTCTGGCGGACCCAGCCCATCCCAAAGTTCCCGAAACTGAACCCGGAGCCGCGGCAGAGGAGGCGCAGGGAGCCCCCGGGGGGCTGGAGGTGCCCCCGGGCTCCAGCAGGGTCACGGCCGCCCGCAGCCCCAAAGGGAACAAGGGGAGATGGGGATGAGAAACCTGATTGGTCAGGGGCATCAAAGTGGGTGTGGCCAGCTGGAAACAGGGACAGGACCCACGTGGGAGGAGGAGGATGAACTGTAAGGGTCCCAGTTTGGGGCCCAGGGTCAGGGTTTGGGTCCAGGGCTGAGCTTTGGCCTCATCCCCATCTCCCCTTGTTCCCTTTGGGGCTGCGGGCGGCCGTGACCCTGCTGGAGCCCGGGGGCACCTCCAGCCCCCCGGGGGCTCCCTGCGCCTCCTCTGCCGAGGCTCCGGCTTCGATTTCGGCAAATTTGAAATGGATTGGGTTCGACAGAGGCCCGGGCAGGGGCTGGAATGGGTTGCCAGTATCAAGAGCGACGGTTCCCGCACCGACTACGCGCCCTCGGTGCGGGGCCGGTTCACGATCTCCAGGGACAACGGGCAGAGCTCGGTGACGCTGACCATGAACAGCCTCAAGGACGAGGATTCCGCCGTCTATTTCTGTGCCAAGGGTGCTGCTGGTTGGGCTGGTTATAATGAGGCCTATGCTATTGACCCTGTCCCCGTGTCCCAGACCCTTCCCCACGCCCCAAGCCCTCACCCCTTTCCTGTCCCCATGTCCCAGTCCTGCACTGGCTGTGCCCCAAATTCTCAGCTCCTGGCCCCAAATCTCAGCTCGGGGCCCACTTGGGGCCATTTTGGCTCCTGAGCTGGACCGGCCTGTGCTGACCCTGCCCTTGACCCATGGAACGTTCCAGGCAAATCCCCCCTTGGGCCCATCTGCCTCTCTCAGCGTGGAGCCCTTGGCCCAGATCAATTTGAGCAATTTAATTTCCCAACATTTTCATGTGGGTTTTGGGGGGATAAAAAAGGGTTTTTCCTGCAGAGCCCCAAGGGAGGATTTCAGCCCCAAACCCAGGGAGCGGCCCCCGGACATCCCGGCCGGTGAGGAGGAAGGGCAGCCCCAGGTGGGAGGAGGAGGAGGAGGAGGAGGAGAAGAAGCCTCGATTTTGGGGCTCCCCCCAGTTCCTCCCTGGCAGCTGCCGGGGCGCGGCCGGGGCAGGAAAGGAAACAGAAAGTTCCTGGTTTGGGTCGTTTTTAGCGCCGGTGTTTGACAGAGGGGAGTTCAGCTGCCGGGCGCCTCAGCAGAGCCGCAGCTGCACAAAAAGCTTTGGGCCCAAAGCGCCCCGGGCTGAGCCCCATGGCGAGCTGGGAGGGAGGGGAAGGGCCAGAGGGGGGAGAAATGGGCAAAAAACTGGGGGAAAGCCCTGGGTTGGAGCAGCTGGGGCGGAGTTCGGGGGAAAACGGCTGAGATTTGAGGAGAAGAGCTGGGATTTGGGGAAAAAGGGGAAGGATCGCTTGGAATTGGAGACATTGGGGTCCATCTTGGAGGTGGCGCCGCTGCAGGAATTGTGGCCAAAAAGAGCAGCAGCACCACCAGCATAACCATTGTCACGTTTGGCACAGAAATAGGAGCCGGAATCCTCGTCCTTGAGGCCGTTCATGGTCAGCGTCACCGAGCTCTGCCCGTTGTCCCTGGAGATCGTGAACCGGCCCTGCACCGATGACGCGTACACGGTGCTGGAACCATCGCTGTTGATCCCTGCGAGCCACTCCAGCCCCTGCCCGGGCCTCTGGCGGATCCAGAACATTGAGATTTTCCCAAAACTGAACCCGGATGCTCGGCAGAGGAGGCGCAGGGAGCCCCCGGGGGGCTGGAGGTGCCCCCGGGCTCCAGCAGGGTCACGGCCGCCCGCAGCCCCAAAGGGAACAAGGGGAGATGGGGATGAGGCCGTGCCAAAGTCAGGAGGAGGTGTCCAATTAATCAATGCTGGATCGGGGCTCATTGCAGGGTTTTAGGAAATTTTCCATACAGGAAACCTCTGTTGGAGATTTGGGGCCAGGCCAAGGGAATTTGGGGCAGAAGCAGCGAAGGTTTGGGGCTGGGGGAGCGGCCGTGACCCTGCTGGAGCCCGGGGGCACCTCCAGCCCCCCGGGGGCTCCCTGCGCCTCCTCTGCCGCGGCTCCGGGTTCAGTTTTGGGAACTTTGGGATGGCCTGGGTCCGCCAAAGACCTGGGCAGGGGCTGGAATACGTCGCCAGTATCAACATCAATGGTCGCGGCACCGACTACGCATCCTCAGTCAAGGGCCGGGTCACGATCTCCAGGGACAACGGGCAGAGCTCGGTGACGCTGACCATGAACGGCCTCAAGGACGAGGATTACGGCTCCTATTTCTGTGCCAAGGGTTCTGGTGCTGGTTGGGGTTATGCTGTTGCTTATAATATTGACCGCTGTCCCCGTGTCCCCCCCTGTCCCCGTGTCCCAGACCCTTCCCCTCACCCCCAGCCCTGACCCCATCCCTGTCCCCTTGTCCCAACCCTGCACTGGCTCTGCCCAAACCTCAGCTCTTGGCTCCAAGGCTCAACCAAGGTCCCCAAACCTGGGTGCGAATGGTCGAGATTTGGGGCCAAAAAGGGCCAGATTTGGGTCCGTGGGGGTCAACAATGGGGCCAAGGGTTGGAGGGAAGCACCTGGGGAATGGGGACAGGTGGGGACTCATGGGGCCAGGGTCAATAGATTCCAGGGCCCCAGCAGCAATGTTAGCACTGGACTCTTTGGCGCAGAAATAGGAGCCGGAATCCTCGTCCTTGAGGCCGTTCATGGTCAGGGCCATGGAGCTCTGCCCGTTGTCCCTGGAGATGCTGACCCGGCCCCGCAGTGAGGGTGCCTGGTAGGAGCCGCCGTGGCTGTCGATGGCTGCGACCCATTCCAGCCCCTGCCCGGGCCTCTGGCGGATCCAGTGCAGATCAGAACGGCCGAAATCGAAGCCGGAGCCGCGGCAGAGGAGGCGCCGGGAGCCCCCGGGGGGCTGGAGGTGCCCCCGGGCTCCAGCAGGGTCACGGCCGCCCGCAGCCCCAAAGGGAACAAGGGGAGATGGGCACGGCCAAAGCTCAGCCCTGGACCCAAACCCTGACCCTGGGCCCCAAACTGGGACCCTTGCAGTTCATCCTCCTCCTCCCACGTGGGTCCTGTGCTTTTTCCAAGCAGGCCACGCCCACTTGGAGGCCCTGGCCAATCAGGTTTCTCATGCCCATCTCCCCTTGTTCCCTTTGGGGCTGCGGGCGGCCGTGACCCTGCTGGAGCCCGGGGGCACCTCCAGCCCCCCGGGGGCTCCCTGCGCCTCCTCTGCCGCGGCTCCGGCTTCGATTTTGGGAAATTTGGAATGAGCTGGGTCCGCCAAAGGCCTGGGCAGACCCTGGAGTGGCTCGCAGGGATCAACAGCGATGGTGGCAGCACCGTGTACGCGTCATCGGTCAAGGGCCGGTTCAGGATCTCCAGGGACCACGGGCAGAGCTCGGTGACGCTGACCATGAACAGCCTCAAGGACGAGGATTCCGCCGTCTATTTCTGTGCCAAGGGTGCTGCTGGTTGGGCTGGTTATAATGAGGCCTATGCTATTGACCCTGTCCCCATGTCCCAGACCCTTCCCCACGCCCCAAGCCCTCACCCCTTTCCTGTCCCCATGTCCCAGTCCTGCACTGGCTGTGCCCCAAATTCTCAGCTCCTGGCCCCAAATCTCAGCTCGGGGCCCACTTGGGGCGATTGCGACTCCCGAGCTGGACCAGCCTGCGCTGACCCTGCCCTTGACCCATGGAACATTCCAGGCGAATCCCCCCTTGGGCCCATCTGCCTCTCTCAGCGTGGAGCCCTCGGTCCAGGTCAATTTGAGCAATTTAATTTCCCAACAATTTCCTGTGGTTTTTGGGGGGATAAAAAAGGGTTTTTCCTGCAGAGCCCCAAGGGAGGATTTCAGCCCCAAACCCAGGGAGCGGCCCCCGGACATCCCGGCCGGTGAGGAGGAAGGGCAGCCCCAGGTGGGAGGAGGAGGAGGAGGAGAAGAAGCCTCGATTTTGGGGCTCCCCCCAGTTCCTCCCTGGCAGCTGCCGGGGCGCGGCCGGGGCAGGAAAGGAAACAGAAAGTTCCTGGTTTGGGTCGTTTTTAGCGCCGGTGTTTGACAGAGGGGAGTTCAGCTGCCGGGCGCCTCAGCAGAGCCGCAGCTGCACAAAAAGCTTTGGGCCCAAAGCGCCCCGGGCTGAGCCCCATGGCGAGCTGGGAGGGAGGGGAAGGGCCAGAGGGGGGAGAAATGGGCAAAAAACTGGGGGAAAGTCCTGGGTTGGAGCAGCTGGGGCGGAGTTTGGGGAAAACGGCTGAGATTTGAGAAACGGGGCTGGGAATTGAGGGAAGGATCAGAGGATTCAGGGATTCTTGGGAACAGAGAGGAGAGGGCCTGGGACCAGAACCACCATCAACACCATAACCAGCAGCAGCAGCAGGATAAACACAATTACTGCTGAAACATTTGGCGCAGAAATAGGAGCCGGAATCCTCGTCCTTGAGGCTGTTCATGGTCAGCGTCACCGAGCTCTGCCCGTTGTCCCTGGAGATCCTGAACCGGCCCTTGACCGAAGGCGCGTACGCAGTGTAACCACTGCTGCTGATCCCTGCGAGCCACTCCAGCCCCTGCCCGGGCCTCTGTCGAACCCAATCCATTTCAAATTTCCCGAAATCAAACCCGGATGCTCGGCAGAGGAGGCGCAGGGAGCCCCCGGGGGGCTGGAGGTGCCCCCGGGCTCCAGCAGGGTCACGGCCGCCCGGGGCCCTGTGGATAAAAAGGGGAGATGGGGATGAGGCCCCGGCTCCGGGCGCGGCCTTGGCACTGTCGGGAGCAGGAGGAGGAGGAGGATGGGGCTGATCCGGCCCCGCCTCCAGCAGAAACTTGGAACGGCTCTGACTCGAAACTCAGCCCTTTGCATTCCTGTGAGCCCAAACGCCCCGAGGAGCCCCCACATGGCCGGGGGCTCCCTGCGCCTCCTCTGCCGAGGCTCCGGGTTCAGTTTCGGGAGCTTTGGAATGTTCTGGATCCGCCAGTGGCCCGGGCAGGGGCTGGAATACGTCGCCAGTATCAACCCTGGTGGCAGCACCGAATACGCGCCCTCGGTGCGGGGCCAGGTCAGAATCTCGAGGGACATCGGGCAGAGCTCGGTGACGCTGACCATGAACAGCCTCAAGGACGAGGATTCCGGCTCCTATTTCTGTGCCAAAAACGCTTATGATGGTTGGGGTTGGGAGGCTCATGCTGCTGGTTCTAACTTTGACCCCATGCCCATCGCTCTGTCCCCACCTGTCCCCATTCCCCAGGTGCTTCCCTCCAACCCTTGGCCCCATTGTTGACCCCCACGGACCCAAATCTGGCCCTTTTTGGCCCCAAATCTCGACCATTTGCACCCAGGTTTGGGGACCTTGGTTGAGCCTTGGAGCCAAGAGCTGAGGTTTGGGGCCAGGAGCTGAGATTGGGGCAGAGCCCGTTCAGAGCTGGGACACGGGGACAGGGATGGGGTCAGGGCTTGGGGTGAGGGGAAGGGTCTGGGACACGGGGAACGCGGTCAATATTGTAAGCAACAGCATCAGCCCAACCAGCATTTTTGGCGCAGAAATAGGAGCCGGAATCCTCGTCCTTGAGGCTGTTCATGGTCAGCGTCACCGAGCTCTGCCCGATGTCCCTGGAGATCCTGAACCGACCCTTGACCGAATCCGCGTACCAGGGGCTGCCGTACCTGTTGATTGCTGCGACCCATTCCAGCCCCTGCCCGGGCCTCTGTCGAACCCATTCCATGGCAAAATTGCCAAAATCGAAGCCGGATGCTCGGCAGAGGAGGCGCAGGGAGCCCCCGGGGGGCTGGAGGTGCCCCCGGGCTCCAGCAGGGTCACGGCCGCTCCCCCAGCCCCAAACCTTCGCTGCTTCTGCCCCAAATTCCCTTGGCCTGGCCCCAAATCTCCAACAGAGGTTTCCTGTATGGAAAATTTCCTTAAACCCTGCAATGAGCCCCGGTCCAGCCATTGATTAATTGGACACCTCCTCCTGACTTTGGCACGGCCTCATCCCCATCTCCCCTTGTTCCCTTTGGGGCTGCGGGCGGCCGTGACCCTGCTGGAGCCCGGGGGCACCTCCAGCCCCCCGGGGGCTCCCTGCGCCTCCTCTGCCGCGGCTCCGGTTTCGATTTCGGCCGTTCTGATCTGCACTGGATCCGCCAGAGGCCCGGGCAGGGGCTGGAATGGGTCGCAGCCATCGACAGCCACGGCGGCTCCTACCAGGCGCCCTCACTGCGGGGCCGGGTCAGCATCTCCAGGGACAACGGGCAGAGCTCCATGGCCCTGACCATGAACGGCCTCAAGGACGAGGATTCCGGCTCCTATTTCTGCGCCAAAGAGTCCAGTGCTAACATTGCTGCTGGGGCCCTGGAATCTATTGACCCTGGCCCCATGAGTCCCCACCTGTCCCCATTCCCCAGGTGCTTCCCTCCAACCCTTGGCCCCATTGTTGACCCCCACGGACCCAAATCTGGCCCTTTTTGGCCCCAAATCTCGACCATTCGCACCCAGGTTTGGGGACCTTGGTGGAGCCTTGGAGCCAAGAGCTGAGGTTTGGGGCCAGGAGCTGAGATTGGGGCAGAACCAGCTCAGTTTGGGACCAATGGTCACAAGTGAACCCCGCTGAGATCTGGGGCACAAAGGACAGAGTTTTGGGGATGAACCTTTGAGATTTGGGTCAAATGCCCAAATCTGCAAAGAACTGTGAGAGGCGAGGAAATGATCCTGGAGATTGAGGGAAAATGGTCAAGATTCACTTTTAGGAATTGAGATTTGAGGGTAGAATGTGGGAATTTTGGGGTGTCAGTGGACGCAACATCTGGGGTGGGTCCACCACCGGCAATGCCAATAAGGTGAGCACCATAAGCACCATAAGCACCATAAGCACCATAAGGACCATAAGGACCATAAGCATCAGCAGATTTGGCACAGAAATAGGAGCCGGAATCGTCGTCCTTGAGGCTGCTCATGGTCAGCGTCACCGAGCTCTGCCCGTTGTCCCTGGAGATCCTGAACCGGCCCTTGACCGAGGGCGCGTATCTGGTGTCACCACCATTGCTGCTGATACTTGCCACGAATTCCAGCCCCTGCCCGGGCCTCTGGTGGACCCAGAACATCCAAAAACTCCCAAAATCGAAGCCGGATGCTCGGCAGAGGAGGCGCAGGGAGCCCCCGGGGGGCTGGAGGTGCCCCCGGGCTCCAGCAGGGTCACGGCCGCTCCCCCAGCCCCAAACCTTCGCTGCTTCTGCCCCAAATTCCCTTGGCCTGGCCCCAAATCTCCAACAGAGGTTTCCTGCGTGGAAAATTTCCTAAAACCCTGCAATGAGCCCCGATCCACCATTGATTAATTGGACACCTCCTCCTGACTTTGGCACGGCCTCATCCCCATCTCCCCTTGTTCCCTTTGGGGCTGCGGGCGGCCGTGACCCTGCTGGAGCCCGGGGGCACCTCCAGCCCCCCGGGGGCTCCCTGGCGTTGCTGTGCCGCGCATCCGGGTTCAATTTCGGGGGTCACTCAATGCAATGGATCCGCCAGAGGCCCGGGCAGGGGCTGGAATGGGTCGCAGGGATCCACAGCAGTGGGGGCTACACCTACTACGCGCCCTCGGTGCGGGGCCGGTTCAGCATCACCAGGGACAACGGGCAGAGCTCGGTGACGCTGGCCATGAACGGCCTCAAGGACGAGGATTCCGGCTCCTATTTCTGTGCCAAAGCTGCTGGGGCTGATGGGGATGATAATGATGCCTGTGGTTATGGCTCCGCCCCCATCGTGGAATTGGAAATCGGGGCAGTGATGGTGGAGTTTGGGGGAAAATGGCGAAGATTTGAGAAACGGGGCTGGGAATTGCAGGAAGGATCAGAGGATTTGGGGATTCTTGGGAACAGAGAGGAGAGGGCTTGGGGCCAGAACCACCATCAACACCATAAGCAGCAGCAGCAGGATAAACACAATTACTGCTGAAACATTTGGCACAGAAATAGGAGCCGGAATCCTCGTCCTTGAGGCTGTTCATGGTCAGCGTCACCGAGCTCTGCCCGTTGTCCCTGGAGATCGTGAACCGGCCCTGCACCGAGGGCGCGTAGTTGGTGCTGCCACCACTGTTGCTGATCCCTGCCATGAATTCCAGCCCCTGCCCGGGCCTCTGGCGGATCCAGAACATGGTGAAACTGCCGAAACTGAACCCGGAGCCGCGGCAGAGGAGGCGCAGGGAGCCCCCGGGGGGCTGGAGGTGCCCCCGGGCTCCAGCAGGGTCACGGCCGCCCGCAGCCCCAAAGGGAACAAGGGGAGATGGGCAGGAGCTGCTGGATTGGCTGTGGGCCTGTTGTGGGTGTGGCCAGCTGGAAAAAGGGGCAGGACCCACCTGAGAGGGTCACCAGGAGGAGGATGGGCCGGGCCAAGTGTCACCATGCAGGGCCCAGCCAGGCTCTGCCCGAATTTCCCCTCCTCTGCTCCTCCCAAGGGCGGGGACTGAACCCCCCAGCCCGGGCAGGCGTGTGGGGCCCAAGGCTGAGCAGAGCGAGAATTTCGCCTGCAGGATGTGAGCGCTGGGCCAAGGAGCCAACGGCTCTGGTTTGGTGCTGAGGCCTTGGGCTCCCTGCCACACCTGCTCCTTATGGGATCTGCTCCCGCCGCCCTTGGCAATTTCCAATAAAAACCTCGGAGTCACGCAGGGATCTGGAGATCTCCCCAGCGTAACAGGGGTCGATCCTCGGCGGGACGGGACCAAAGGAGTTCGTGTCTACGTTTGGCAGCCATATCCCCCCCCCCCCCCTCTTTCTCTCTATTTTTCTCTCCCTTAATCCCTCTATCGCCTTTGGCTGTGGCCATTCAATAAAGGTGCGTTTGTTTGGATCATCACTGCGAACCCCCTGTGCCGGGTCGGTTCCTTTGGCACCCTCAGATCAAACCCAGAACCCTCAGGAAACCCCTCCGTGAGGGCGGATGGTGACACAGGGGATGGGGACAGGGTCAAAGCGATAAGCACCAGCATAACTGCAACTATTGTCAGCACCCTTGGCACAGAAATAGACGGCGGAATCCTCATCCTTGAGGCTGTTCATGGTCAGCGTCACCGAGCTCTGCCCGTTGTCCCTGGAGATCGTGAAACGGCCCTTGACCGAGGGCGTGTAGTAGGTGCTGCCACCGCTGCAGATCCCTGCGAGCCACTCCAGACCCTGCCCGGGTCTCTGGCGGATCCATTGCATGGCAAATTTCCCAAAATCGAACCCGGATGCTCGGCAGAGGAGGCGCAGGGAGCCCCCGGGGGGCTGGAGGTGCCCCCGGGCTCCAGCAGGGTCATGGCCGCCCGCAGCCCCAAAGGGAACAAGGGGAGATGGCCATGAGAAACCTGATTGGTCCAGGGCCTCCAAGTGGGCGTGGCCTGCTGGGAAAAGGGGCAGGACCCACGTGGGAGGAGGAGGATGAACTGCAAGGGTCCCAGTTTGGGGCCCAGGGTCAGGGTTTGGGTCCAGGGCTGAGCTTTGGCCGTGCCCATCTCCCCTTGTTCCCTTTGGGGCTGGGGGCGGCCGTGACCCTGCTGGAGCCCGGGGGCACCTCCAGCCCCCCGGGGGCTCCCTGCGCCTCCTCTGCCGAGCATCCGGCTTCGATTTTGGCAATTTTGGGATGGGCTGGATGCGCCAGAGGCCCGGGCAGGGGCTGGAAGTCGTCGCGGGGATCACCAACAATGCTGGTTACACCGGCTACGCGTCGTCAGTCAAGGGCCGGTTCACGATCTCCAGGGACAACGGGCAGAGCTCGGTGACGCTGACCATGAACAGCCTCAAGGACGAGGATTCCGGGACCTATTTCTGTGCCAAATCTACTGGTGCTGGTGCTTTTTGGGGTGCTTATTATGCTGGTGATATTGACGGCGCCGGCCATGACCCCATTCCCAGCCAGCATCACCATCAGCACCGTCACCGTCTGCATCCCTGGCACAGGAACAGGACCCGGAATCCTCGTCCCTGAGGCCGTTCATGGTCAGCGTCACCGAGCTCTGCCCGTTGTCCCTGCAGATCCTGACCCTGCCCCGCACCCATGGAACATTCCAGGCGAATCCCCCCTTGGGCCCATCTGCCTCTCTCAGCGTGGAGCCCTCGGTCCAGATCAATTTGAGCAATTTAATTTCCCAACAATTTCCTGTGGGTTTTGGGGGGATAAAAAAGGGTTTTTCCTGCAGAGCCCCAAGGGAGGATTTCAGCCCCAAACCCAGGGAGCGGCCCCCGGACATCCCGGCCGGTGAGGAGGAAGGGCAGCCCCAGGTGGGAGGAGCAGGAGGAGCAGGAGGAGAAGAAGCCTCGATTTTGGGGCTCCCCCCAGTTCCTCCCTGGCAGCTGCCGGGGCGCGGCCGGGGCAGGAAAGGAAACAGAAAGTTCCTGGTTTGGGTCGTTTTTAGCGCCGGTGTTTGACAGAGGGGAGTTCAGCTGCCGGGCGCCTCAGCAGAGCCGCAGCTGCACAAAAAGCTTTGGGCCCAAAGCGCCCCGGGCTGAGCCCCATGGCGAGCTGGGAGGGAGGGGAAGGGCCAGAGGGGGGAGAAATGGGCAAAAAACTGGGGGAAAGTCCTGGGTTGGAGCAGCTGGGGCGGAGTTTGGGGGAAAACGGCTGAGATTTGAGAAAAAGAGCTGGGATTTGGGGAAAAAGGGGAAGGATCGCTTGGAATTGGAGACATTGGGGTCCATCTTGGAGGTGGCACCGCTGCAGGAATTGTGGCCAAAAAGAGCAGCAGCACCACCAGCATAACCATTGTCACGTTTGGCACAGAAATAGGAGCCGGAATCCTCGTCCTTGAGGCTGTTCATGGTCAGCGTCACCGAGCTCTGCCCGTTGTCCCTGGAGATCCTGAACCGGCCCTTGACTGAGGGCGCGTAGTAGGTGCCAGAACCATCGCTGTTGATCCCTGCGAGCCACTCCAGCCCCTGCCCGGGCCTCTGGCGGACCCAGTACATCCCAAATTTCCCAAAATCGAAGCCGGAGCCTCGGCAGAGGAGGCGCAGGGAGCCCCCGGGGGGCTGGAGGTGCCCCCGGGCTCCAGCAGGGTCACGGCCGCGCCCGCAGCCCCAAAGGGAACAAGGGGAGATGGGGATGAGAAACCTGGTTGGTTGAGAGCCCCAAAGTGGGTGTGGCCTGCAGGGAAAAGGGGCAGGACCCACGTGGGAGGAGGAGGATGAACTGCAAGGGTCCCAGTTTGGGGCCCAGGGTCAGGGTTTGGGTCCAGGGCTGAGCTTTGGCCATGCCCATCTCCCCTTGTTCCCTTTGGGGCTGCGGGCGGCCGTGACCCTGCTGGAGCCCGGGGGCACCTCCAGCCCCCCGGGGGCTCCCTGCGCCTCCTCTGCCGAGCATCCGGCTTCGATTTTGGGAAATTTGGGATGGGCTGGATGCGCCAGAGGCCCGGGCAGGGGCTGGAATACGTCGCCAGTACCAACACTGGTGGCAGCACCTACTACGCGTCCTCAGTCAAGGGCCGGTTCAGGATCTCGAGGGACAACGGGCAGAGCTCGGTGACGCTGACCATGAACAGCCTCAAGGACGAGGATTCCGGCTCCTATTTCTGTGCCAAATATGCTGCTGGTGGTTATTGGGGTAATGCTGCTGCTGCTGCTTTTCGTTTTGACCCCATCCCCGTCTCTGTGTCCCCCCTGTCCCCGTGCCCCAGGCCCTTCCCTCCAACCCCTGACCCCTCTCCTGGCCCTTTGTCCCACCCTTGCCCGGCTCTGGCCCCAAATCTCAGCTCCTGGCCCCAAATCAGGGCCGGTTCCACGCTCACTCAGCCTCGGCCCTCAAACCCCAACCGTTGCCCCCAGACTTGTCCAGTTTTGCCCCAAATCTCCCCTGCTGGCACCGAGTCACAGCCACGCACCCAAATCTGGCCCGTTGGCCTCACATCGGGACTTTTGGGCCAAAATTTGAATTCTTGACCCCATAACACAAACTTCGTCAAAAATTTTGAAGAATTGAATATAATTTGGAGAATGAGGGCACTGAGTGTGGCCCAGCGGTGACATTTGGGGCAGGGCCAGAGCAGGGCTGGGACAGAGGGTCAGGAATGGGGTCAGGGCTTGGGCTTTGGGGAAAGGGTCTGGGATTTGGGGACTGGGCTGAAAGGATGAACTGGAGCAGCACCCCAATTGCCAGCACCAGCACGTTTGGCACAGAAATAGACGGCGGAATCCTCGTCCTTGAGGCTGTTCATGGTCAGCGTCACCGAGCTCTGCCCGTTGTCCCTGGGGATCGTGAACCGGCCCTGCACCGAGGGCGCGTAGCTGGTGCCTCCACCACTGCTGATCCCCGCGACCCACTCCAGCCCCTGCCCAGGCCTCTGGCGGACCCAGAGCATGGGAGAACTCCCAAAATTGAACCCAGAGCCGCGGCAGAGGAGGCGCAGGGAGCCCCCGGGGGGCTGGAGGTGCCCCCGGGCTCCAGCAGGGTCACGGCCGCCCGGGGCCCTGTGGATAAAAAGGGGAGATGGGGACGAGGCCCCGGCTCCGGGCGCGGCCCTGGCACTGTCGGGAGCAGCAGCAGGAGGAGGATGGGGCTGATCCGGCTCCGCCTCCAGCAGAAATTTGGACCGGCTCTGACTCGAAACTCAGCCCTTTGCATTCCCGTGAGCCCAAACGCCCCGAGGAGTCCCCACATGGCCGGGGGCTCCCTGCGCCTCCTCTGCCGAGGCACCGGGTTCAGTTTCGGGAGATTTGGAATGTTCTGGATCCGCCAAAGGCCCGGGCAGGGGCTGGAATGGCTCGCGGGGATCAACAGTGGTGGTGACACCGGCTACGCGCCCTCAGTCAAGGGCCGGGTCAGGATCTCCAGGGACAACGGGCAGAGCTCGGTGACGCTGACCATGAACAGCCTCAAGGACGAGGATTCTGCCACCTATTTCTGTGCCAAGGGTGCTGTTGCTGGTGCTGGATGGAATGGTAATGCTGCTGCTCGTATTGACGGCGCTCTCCATGACCCCATTCCCAGCCAGCATCACCATGAGCACCGTCACCGTCTGCATCCCTGGCACAGGAACAGGACCCGGAATCCTCGTCCCTGAGGCCGTTCATGGTCAGCGTCACCGAGCTCTGCCCGTGGTCCCTGCAGATCCTGACCCGAGCTCGTGTCCCAGGGGCTGCCAGCGCTGCTGATTGAGGCAGAGAATTCCGGGGCCCGCCCGGGTCTCTGGCGGATCCAGAGCATGGGGGAACTCCCTGGGGAGGATTCCGGGTCCTGTTCCTGTGCCAGGGATGCAGACGGTGACGGTGCTGATGGTGATGCTGGTTGGGGATGGGGTCATGGCCGGCGCCGTCAATATATCCAGCACCATTAGCATTCCAACCAGCAGAACCATAAGAGTATTTGGCACAGAAATAGGTGGCAGAATCCTCATCCTTGAGGCTGTTCATGGTCAGCGTCACGGAGCTCTGCCCGTTGTCCCTGGATATCGTGAACCGGCCCTGCATCGAGGGCCCGTAGTTGGTGCTGCCACCAGTGTTGATACTGGCAATGAATTCCAGCCCCTGCCCGGGTCTGTGGCGGACCCAGCCCATATCAGCGTTCCCAAAATCGAAGCCGGATGCGCGGCAGAGGAGGCGCAGGGAGCCCCCGGGGGGCTGGAGGTGCCCCCGGGCTCCAGCAGGGTCACGGCCGCTCCCCCAGCCCCAAAGGGAAAAAGGGGAGATGGGGATGAGAAACCTGATTGGTCCAGGCCCTTCAAGTGGGCGTGGCCTGATGGGAAAAGCATTGGGTCCCAGCTGGGAGGAGGAGGATGAACTGCAAGGGTCCCAGTTTGGGGCCCAGGGTCAGGGTTTGGGTCCAGGGCTGAGCTTTGGCCGTGCCCATCTCCCCTTGTTCCCTTTGGGGCTGCGGGCGGCCGTGACCCTGCTGGAGCCCGGGGGCACCTCCAGCCCCCCGGGGGCTCCCTGCGCCTCCTCTGCCGAGCATCCGGGTTTGACTTTGGGAAATTTGAAATGGATTGGGTTCGACAGAGGCCCGGGCAGGGGCTGGAATGGGTCGCCAGTATCAAGAGCGATGGTTCCGGCACCTGGTACGCGCCCTCGGTCAAGGGCCGGTTCACGATCTCCAGGGACAACGGGCAGAGCTCGGTGACGCTGACCATGAACAGCCTCAAGGACGAGGATTCCGCCGTCTATTTCTGTGCCAAAAGTTCTGGTAACAGCTGTTGCAGTGCTGGTGCTCCTCTTGGTTGGTTTGATCCCATCCTTGCATCCCCACCCGTGCCCATTTTCCAGACTGTTCCCCCATTCCTGTGCCCGTGTGTCAAAGTCTGAACGGGCTCTGCCCCAAATCTCAGCTCCTGGCCCCAAATCAGGGCCGGTTCCACGCTCAGCTCAGCCTCGGCCCCCAAATCCCAACCGTTGCCCCCAGACTTGTCCAGTTTTACCCCAAATCTCCCCTGCTGGCACCGAGTCACAGCCACGCACCCAAATCTGGCCCGTTGGCCTCACATCGGGACTTTTGGGCCAAAATTTAAAATCTTGACCCCATAACTCAACCTTCGTCCAAAATTTTGAAGAATTGAATATAATTTGGAGAATGAGGGCACTGAGTGTGGCCCAGAGGTGACATTGGGGCAGGGCCAGAGCAGGGCTGGGACAGAGGGTCAGCAATGGGGTCAGGGCTTGGGCTTTGGGGAAAGGGTCTGGGGAACGGGGACAAGAGGGGAAACGGGGACAGGGCCGGGGTCAAAACCCTCAGCAGCAGGATTATCATAGTGAACATTGGCATGTTTGGCACAGAAATAGGAGCCGGAATCCTCGTCCTTGAGGCTGTTCATGGTCAGCGTCACCGAGCTCTGCCCGTTGTCCCTGGAGATCGTGAACCGGCCCCGCACCGAGGGCGCGTAGTAGGTGCCGCCACTGCTGTGGATACTCGCGAGCCATTCCAGCCCCTGCCCGGGCCTCTGGCGGGCCCAGCCCATCCCAAATTTGCCAAAATCAAACCCGGAGCCGCGGCAGAGGAGGTGCAGGGAGCCCCCGGGGGGCTGGAGGTGCCCCCGGGCTCCAGCAGGGTCACGGCCGCCCGCAGCCCCAAAGGGAACAAGGGGAGATGGGCACGGCCAAAGCTCAGCCCTGGACCCAAACCCTGACCCTGGGCCCCAAACTGGGACCCTTGGGGTTCCCCATCCTCCTCCTCCCGGGTGGGTCCTGTCCCTTTTCCCAGCAGGCCACGCCCACGTTGGGGCTCTCGACCAATCAGGTTTCTCGTGCCCATCTCCCCTTGTTCCCTTTGGGGCTGCGGGCGGCCGTGACCCTGCTGGAGCCCGGGGGCACCTCCAGCCCCCCGGGGGCTCCCTGCGCCTCCTCTGCCGAGCATCCGGGTTCAGTTTTGGGAACTTTGACATGTACTGGATCCGCCAGAGGCCCGGGCAGGGGCTGGAGTGGCTGGCATGGATCTACAGCAGTGGTGGCAGCACCAACTACGCGCCCTCGGTGCAGGGCCGTTTCACGATCTCCAGGGACAACGGGCAGAGCTCGGTGACGCTGACCATGAACAGCCTCAAGGACGAGGATTCCGGCTCCTATTTCTGTGCCAAATGTTTCAGCAGTGGTTGTGGTAACGCTGCTGGTGCTCATGGTGTTGTTGCTGACTGTGGTCCAGGCCCTTTCTTCTGTGTTCCCAAATATCCCAGAATTGTCCAAAGGTTCCCCAAATCTCAGCCATTTTCCCCTAAACTCCTCCCCTGTTACCCCAAGTCTCGACTTTGGCCATAATTTTGCCCATTTCACCCAAATCTCCCCCAGCTCCCTGGGCCCTGATTGGTGGAGCCGGCACAGCCAAAAATGGGAACTCTTGGAGAGCAAGGCCTGAAGGGGAGGCCCGGGGTGAAGGTTTGGGGCCAATGGTTGAGTTGGGGGCAGAACCAGGGGAGGGTTTGGGGTCAGCTCTGGCCATTGGGGGAAATGGGGGAGATTTGGGACCAAGGGTGAAGAGCTGGGATTCGGGAGAAGGGTCTGGAAATGGGGACAGGGGGGACACTGAGATGGGGATGGATCCACAAGTGATGCCTGCACCATAAGCAGCAGCACCCCAATAATTGCCATAGGCAGATTTGGCACAGAAATAGGAGCCGGAATCCTCGTCCTTGAGGCTGTTCATGGTCAGCGTCACCGAGCTCTGCCCGTTGTCCCTGGAGATCGTGAACCGGCCCTTGACCGAGGGCGCGTAGCCGGTGTAAGCACCATTGCTGTTGATTTCTGCGACGAATTCCAGCCCCTGCCCGGGCCTCTGGCGGACCCACTGCATGGCAAAATTGCCAAAATCGAACCCGGAGCCTCGGCAGAGGAGGCGCAGGGAGCCCCCGGGGGGCTGGAGGTGCCCCCGGGCTCCAGCAGGGTCATGGCCGCCCACAGCCCTGTGTATAAAAAGGGGAGATGGGGATGAGAAACCTGACTGGTCGAGGGCCTCCAAGTGGGCGTAGCCTGCTTGGAAAAGGGACAGGACCCACCCGGGAGGAGGAGGATGAACTGCAAGGGTCCCAGTTTGGGGCCCAGGGTCAGGGTTTGGGTCCAGGGCTGAGCTTTGGCCGTGCCCATCTCCCCTTGTTCCCTTTGGGGCTGCGGGCGGCCGTGACCCTGCTGGAGCCCGGGGGCACCTCCAGCCCCCCGGGGGCTCCCTGCGCCTCCTCTGCCGAGCATCTGGGTTCGATTTCGGGAAATTTGGGATGGGCTGGATGCGCCAGAGGTCCGGGCAGGGGCTGGAATGGGTCACGAGAATCAACAACGATGGTGCTTACACCAACTACGCGCCCTCGGTGCAGGGCCGGTTCAGGATCTCCAGGGACAACGGGCAGAGCTCGGTGACGCTGACCATGAACAGCCTCAAGGACGAGGATTCCGCCGTCTATTTCTGTGCCAAGGGTGCTGATGCTTATGGTCCTTATGGTCCTTATGGTGCTTATGGTGCTTATGGTGCTTATGGTGCTTATGGTGCTTATGGTGCTCACCTTATTGGTATTGCCGGTGGTGGACCCACCTCAGATGTTGCATCCACTGACACCCCAAAATTCCCACATTCTTCCCTCAAATCTCGACTCCTAAAAGTGAATCTTGACCGTTTTGCCTCAATCCCCTGGATCATTTCCTCGCCTCTCACAGTTCTTTGCAGATTTGGGCATTCGACCCAAATCTCAGAGGTTCATCCCCAAAACTGTGCCCTTTGTGCCCCAGATCTCAACAGGGTTCAATTGTGACCATTGGTCCCAAACTGAGCTGGTTCTGCCCCAAATCTCAGCTCCTGGCACCAAACCTCAGCTCCTGGCTCCAAGGCTCAACCAAGGTCCCCAAACCTGGGTGCAAATGGTCGAGATTTGGGGCCAAAAAGGCCAGATCTGGGTCCGTGGGGGTCAACAATGGGGCCAAGGGTTGGAGGGAAGCACCTGGGGAATGGGGACGGGGGCGACAGAGTGATGGGCATGGGGTCAAAGTTAGAACCAGCAGCATGAGCCTCCCAACCCCAACCATCATAAGCGTTTTTGGCACAGAAATAGGAGCCGGAATCCTCGTCCTTGAGGCTGTTCATGGTCAGCGTCACCGAGCTCTGCCCGTTGTCCCTGGAGATCCTGAACCTGCCCCGCACCGAGGGCGCGTATCTGGTGTCACCACCACTGTTGATCCCCGCGACGTATTCCAGCCCCTGCCTGGGCCTTTGGCGGATCCAGAACATTCCAAAGCTCCCGAAACTGAACCCGGTGCCTCGGCAGAGGAGGCGCAGGGAGCCCCCGGCCATGTGGGGGCTCCTCGGGGCGTTTGGGCTCACGGGAATGCAAAGGGCTGAGTTTCGAGTCAGAGCCGTTCCAAGTTTCTGCTGGAGGCGGAGCCGGATCAGCCCCATCCTCCTCCTGCTGCTCCCGACAGTGCCAGGGCCGCGCCCGGAGCCGGGGCCTCATCCCCACCTCCCCTTTTTATCCACAGGGCCCCGGGCGGCCGTGACCCTGCTGGAGCCCGGGGGCACCTCCAGCCCCCCGGGGGCTCCCTGCGCCTCCTCTGCCGAGGCTCTGGGTTCAATTTCGGGAGTTTCACCATGTTCTGGGTCCGCCAGAGGCCTGGGCAGGGGCTGGAGTGGGTTGCTGGGATCAGCAGTGGTGGAGGCACCAGATACGCGCCCTCGGTGCAGGGCCGTTTCACGATCTCCAGGGACAACGGGCAGAGCTCGGTGACGCTGACCATGAACAGCCTCAAGGACCAGGATTCCGCCGTCTATTTCTGTGCCAAACGTGCTGCTGCTGGCAATTGGGGTGCTGCTCCAGTTCGTCCTTTCGGCCCAGTCCCCAAATCCCAGACCCTTTCCCCAAAGCCCAAGCCCTGACCCCATTCCTGACCCTCTGTCCCAGCCCTGCTCTGGCCCTGCCCCAAATGTCACCGCTGGGCCACACTCAGTGCCCTCATTCTCCAAATTATATTCAATTCTTCAAAATTTTTGACGAAGTTTGAGTTATGGGGTGAAGATCTTAAATTTTGGCCCAAAAGTCCCGATGTGAGGCCAACGGGCCAGATTTGGGTGCGTGGCTGTGACTTGGTGCCAGCAGGGGAGATTTGGGGTAAAACTGGACAAGTCTGGGGGCAACGGTTGGGATTTGGGGGCCGAGGCTGAGCTGAGCGTGGAACCGGCCCTGATTTGGGGCCAGGAGCTGAGATTTGGGGCCAGGAGCTGAGATTTGGGGCAGAGCCCATTCAGAGCTGGGACACAGGGACAGGAATGGGGTCAGGGCTTGGGGTGTGGGGGAAGCGTCTGGGGAACGGGGACAGGGACAGGGCCGAGAACATCATCACCAACATCAGCACCAGAAGCGGCACAACAACTGTAAACACCCTTGGCACAGAAATAGGAGCCGGAATCCTCGTCCTTGAGGCTGTTCATGGTCAGCGTCACCGAGCTCTGCCCGTTGTCCCTGGAGATCCTGAACCGGCCCCACACCGAGGGCGCGATGCTGGTGCCAGAACCATCATTCCTGATCCACGCAACGAATTCCAGCCCCTGCCCAGGCCTCTGGTGGACCCAGTGCGTGTCAAACCTCCCGAAATCGAACCCAGATGCTCGGCAGAGGAGGCGCAGGGAGCCCCCGGGGGGCTGGAGGTGCCCCCGGGCTCCAGCAGGGTCACGGCCGCCCCCAGCCCCAAAGGGAACAAGGGGAGATGGGCACGGCCAAAGCTCAGCCCTGGACCCAAACCCTGACCCTGGGCCCCAAACTGGGACCCTTGCAGTTCATCCTCCTCCTCCCAGCTGGGACCCAACGCTTTTCCCATCAGGCCACGCCCACTTGAAGGGCCTGGACCAATCAGGTTTCTCATGCCCATCTCCCCTTTTTCCCTTTGGGGCTGCGGGCGGCCGTGACCCTGCTGGAGCCCGGGGGCACCTCCAGCCCCCTGGGGGCTCCCTGCGCCTCCTCTGCCGAGCATCCGGCTTCGATTTTGGGAACACCGACATGGGCTGGGTCCGCCAGAGACCCGGGCAGGGGCTGGAATTCATTGCCAGTATCAACACTGGTGGCAGCACCAACTACGCGCCCTCGGTCAAGGGCCGTTTCACGATCTCCAGGGACAACGGGCAGAGCTCGGTGACGCTGACCATGAACAGCCTCAAGGACGAGGATTCCGCCGTCTATTTCTGTGCCAAATACTCTTATGGTTCTGCTGGTTGGAATGCTAATGGTGCTGGATATATTGACGGCGCCGGCCATGACCCCATCCCCAACCAGCATCACCATCAGCACCGTCACCGTCTGCATCCCTGGCGCAGGAACAGGACCCGGAATCCTCCCCAGGGAGTTCCCCCATGCTCTGGATCCCCCAGAGACCCGGGCAGGCCCCGGAATTCTCTGCCTCAATCAGCAGCGCTGGCAGCCCCTGGGACACGAGCTCGGGTCAGGATCTGCAGGGACCACGGGCAGAGCTCGGTGACGCTGACCATGAACGGCCTCAGGGACGAGGATTCCGGGTCCTGTTCCTGTGCCAGGGATGCAGACGGTGACGGTGCTGATGGTGATGCTGGCTGGGAATGGGGTCATGGCCGGTGCCATCAATACGAGCAGCAGCATTACCATTCCATCCAGCACCAGCAACAGCACCCTTGGCACAGAAATAGGTGGCGGAATCCTCGTCCTTGAGGCTGTTCATGGTCAGCGTCACCGAGCTCTGCCCGTTGTCCCTGGAGATCGTGAACTGGCCCTTGACCGACAGTGCGTACACGCTGTAACCACTGCTGCTGATCCCTGCGAGCCACTGCAGCCCCTGCCCGGGCCTCTGGCGGATCCAGAGCATGGGGAAACTCCCAAAATCGAAGCCGGAGCCTCGGCAGAGGAGGCGCAGGGAGCCCCCGGGGGGCTGGAGGTGCCCCCGGGCTCCAGCAGGGTCACGGCCGCTCCCCCAGCCCCAAAGGGAACAAGGGGAGATGGGCACGAGAAACCTGATTGGTCCAGGGCCTCAAAGAGGGTGTGGCCTGCAGGGAAAAGGGACAGGACCCACCCGGGAGGAGGAGGATGAACTGCAAGGGTCCCAGTTTGGGGCCCAGGGTCAGGGTTTGGGTCCAGGGCTGAGCTTTGGCCGTGCCCATCTCCCCTTGTTCCCTTTGGGGCTGCGGGCGGCCGTGACCCTGCTGGAGCCCGGGGGCACCTCCAGCCCCCCGGGGGCTCCCTGCGCCTCCTCTGCCGAGCATCCGGGTTCGATTTCGTGAATTTTGGCATGCAGTGGGTCCGCCAGAGGCCTGGGCAGGGGCTGGAATGGGTCGCAGGGATTGACTATGATGGCGAAACCAGCTACACGCCCATGGTGCAGGGCCGGGTCAGGATCTCCAGGGACGACGGGCAGAGCTCGGTGACGCTGACCATGAACAGCCTCAAGGACGAGGATTCCGGCTCCTATTTCTGTGCCAAAAACGCTTATGATGGTTGGGGTTGGGAGGCTCATGCTGCTGGTTCTCACTTTGACCCCATGCCCATCGCTCTGTCCCCACCTGTCCCCATTCCCCAGGTGCTTCCCTCCAATCCTTGGCCCCATTGTTGACCCCCACGGACCCAAATCTGACCCTTTTTGGCCCTAAATCTCGACCATTTGCAGCCAGGTTTGGGGACCTTGGTTGAGCCTTGGAGCCAAGAGCTGAGGTTTGGTGCCAGGAGCTGAGATTGGGGCAGAACCAGCTCAGTTTGGGACCAATGGTCACAAGTGAACCCTGTTGAGATCTGGGGCACAAAGGACAGAGTTTTGGGGATGAACCTTTGAGATTTGGGTCAAACGCCCAAATCTGCAAAGAACTGTGAGAGGCGAGGAAATGATCCTGGAGATTGAGGCAAAACGGTCAAGATTCACTTTTAGGAGTCGAGATTTGAGGGTAGAATGTGGGAATTTTGGGGTGTCAGTGGACGCAACATCTGGGGTGGGTCCACCACCGGCAATGCCAATAAGGTGAGCACCATAAGCACCATAAGCACCATAAGCACCATAAGGACCATAAGGACCATAAGCATCAGCAGATTTGGCACAGAAATAGGAGCCGGAATCGTCGTCCTTGAGGCTGCTCATGGTCAGCGTCACCGAGCTCTGCCCGTTGTCCCTGGAGATCGTGAACCGGCCCTTGACCGAGGGCGCGTATCTGGTGTCACCACCATTGCTGCTGATACTTGCCACGAATTCCAGCCCCTGCCCGGGCCTCTGGTGGACCCAGAACATCCAAAAACTCCCAAAATCGAAGCCGGATGCTCGGCAGAGGAGGCGCAGGGAGCCCCCGGGGGGCTGGAGGTGCCCCCGGGCTCCAGCAGGGTCACGGCCGCTCCCCCAGCCCCAAACCTTCGCTGCTTCTGCCCCAAATTCCCTTGGCCTGGCCCCAAATCTCCAACAGAGGTTTCCTGTGTGGAAAATTTCCTAAAACCCTGCAATGAGCCCCGATCCACCATTGATTAATTGGACACCTCCTCCTGACTTTGGCACGGCCTCATCCCCATCTCCCCTTGTTCCCTTTGGGGCTGCGGGCGGCCGTGACCCTGCTGGAGCCCGGGGGCACCTCCAGCCCCCCGGGGGCTCCCTGCGCCTCCTCTGCCGCGCATCCGGGTTCAATTTTGGGAAATTTGCCATGCAATGGATCCGCCAGAGGCCCGGGCAGGGGCTGGAGTGGCTCGCAGGGATCAACAGCAATGGTTCCAGCACCGTGTACGCGTCATCGGTCAAGGGCCGGTTCAGGATCTCGAGGGACAACGGGCAGAGCTCGGTGACGCTGACCATGAACAGCCTCAAGGACGAGGATTCCGGCTCCTATTTCTGTGCCAAACGTGACAATGGTTATGCTGGTGGTGCTGCTGCTCTTTTTGGCCACAATTCCTGCAGCGGTGCCACCTCCAAGATGGACCCCAATGTCTCCAATCCCAAGCAATCCTTCCCCTTTTTCCCCAAATCCCAGCTCTTTTTCTCAAATCTCAGCCGTTTTCCCCAAACTCTGCCCCGGCTGCTCCAACCCAGGACATTCCCCCAGTTTTGCCCCAGCGTAACAGGGGTCGATCCTCAGCGGGACGGGACCAAAGGAGTTCGTGTCTACGTTTGGCAGCCATATCCGCCCCTGTCTCTCTCTCTCTCTCTTTCTCTCTATTTTTCTCTCCCTTAATCCCTCTATCGCCTTTTGCCGTGGCCATTCAATAAAGGGGCGTTTGTTTGGATCATCACTGCGAACCCCCTGTGCCGGGTCGGTTCCTTTGGCACCCTGAGATCAAACCCAGAACCCTCAGGAAACCCCTCCGTGAGGGCGGATGGTGACACAGGGGATGGGGACGGGGTCAAAGCGTTAAGCACCAGCATAACTGCAACTATTGTCAGCAGCCTTGGCACAGAAATAGACGGCGGAATCCTGGTCCTTGAGGCTGTTCATGGTCAGCGTCACCGAGCTCTGCCCGTTGTCCCTCGAGATCGTGAACCGGCCCTTGACCGAGGGCGCATACCAGGTGCCGGAACCATCGCTCTTGATACTGGCGACCCATTCCAGCCCCTGCCCGGGCCTCTGTCGAACCCAATCCATTTCAAATTTCCCAAAGTCAAACCCGGATGCTCGGCAGAGGAGGCGCAGGGAGCCCCCGGGGGGCTGGAGGTGCCCCCGGGCTCCAGCAGGGTCACGGCCGCCCGCAGCCCCAAAGGGAACAAGGGGAGATGGGCACGGCCAAAGCTCAGCCCTGGACCCAAACCCCGACCCTGGGCCCCAAACTGGGACCCTTGGGGTTCATCCTCCTCCTCCCAGGTGGGACCCAATGCTTTTCCCATCAGGCCACGCCCACTTGGATGCCCTGGACCAATCAGGTTTCTCATGGCCATCTCCCCTTGTTCCCTTTGGGGCTGCGGGCGGCCGTGACCCTGCTGGAGCCCGGGGGCACCTCCAGCCCCCCGGGGGCTCCCTGCGCCTCCTCTGCCGAGCATCCGGCTTCGATTTTGGGAAATTCTACATGGGCTGGATGCGCCAGAGGCCTGGGCAGGGGCTGGAATACATCGCAGTTATCAGCAGCGATGGTGCTTACACCGGCTACGCGCCCTTGGTGCGGGGCCGGTTCAGGATCTCCAGGGACAACGGGCAGAGCTCGGTGACGCTGACCATGAACAGCCTCAAGGATGAGGATTCCGCCGTCTATTTCTGTGCCAAACCCGCTGTCGCTGGTTGGGTTCCTTATGGTGCTTATATTCCCCATGCTGGTGGTGTCGCCGCCCCTGTCTGAGCCCCTCTTGTCCCCACTCCCCAGACCCTTCCCCCAAATCTCAGCCCCTAACCCCATTCTTGACCCTTTGCCCCAGGTCTCCCCCATTTCCACCAATGGCGACCAAAGACCCCAAACCCCAACTGGTTCTGCCCCAAACCCAACCGCTTTGGCCCCAAAACTCGCCCGATTCTGCCCCAAATCCCCACTTGGGGCTCCCGGCCGCAGCCGCTGCCCCAAACCTCCCCCGCTGTGCCCAGATCGGGGCCCTTTGGGCGCTTTTGGGGCGCGAGGCTGAGATGTGGGGCCCAGAGCTGAGTGTGGGGCCGGAGCCAGGGGAGGGTTTGGGGCCCATGGGGCAGCGTTGGTGCAAAGGGGGCAGGGATGGGACCAAGGCTCGGGGTGGAGGTTTGGGGCCAATGGTTGAGTTTGGGGCTGGAGCAGGCGAGGGTTTGGGGTCAGTGCTGGCCATGGGGGGAAATGGGGACAAAGGGGCAGGGCTGGGGCAGGGGGTGAGGTTTGGGGGAAGGGTCTGGGGTTTGGGGACATTTGGGAACCCAACAACAAAGGCCGGGCTGAAACCAACGTCAATACGATAAGCATCATAATCACAGCCAGAAAAATCACATTTGGCACAGAAATAGATGGCGGAATCCTCGTCCTTGAGGCTGTTCATGGTCAGCGTCACCGAGCTCTGCCCGTTGTCCCTCGAGATCGTGAAACGGCCCTGCACCGAGGGCGCGTACCTGGGGTTGCCACCACTTTGGATCCCTGCAACCCATTCCAGCCCCTGCCCAGGTCTCTGGCGGATCCATTGCATCCCAAATTCTCCAAAACTGAACCCGGATGCTCGGCAGAGGAGGCGCAGGGAGCCCCCGGGGGGCTGGAGGTGCCCCCGGGCTCCAGCAGGGTCACGGCCGCCCGCAGCCCCAAAGGGAACAAGGGGAGATGGGGATGAGGCCGTGCCAAAGTCAGGAGGAGGTGTCCAATTAATCAATGGTGGATCGGGGCTCATTGCAGGGTTTTAGGAAATTTTCCACACAGGAAACCTCTGTTGGAGATTTGGGGCCAGGCCAAGGGAATTTGGGGCAGAAGCAGCGAAGGTTTGGGGCTGGGGGAGCGGCCGTGACCCTGCTGGAGCCCGGGGGCACCTCCAGCCCCCCGGGGGCTCCCTGCGCCTCCTCTGCCGAGCATCCGGGTTTGATTTCGGGAACTTTGGGATGGGCTGGTTTCGACAGAGGCCCGGGCAGGGGCTGGAATTCGTCGCGGGGATCACCAACAATGCTGGTTGGACCGGGTACGCGCCCTCAGTCAAGGGCCGGTTCACGATCTCGAGGGACAACGGGCAGAGCTCGGTGACGCTGACCATGAACAGCCTCAAGGACGAGGATTCCGCCGTCTATTTCTGTGCCAAAGATGCTCGTACTAGTGGAGGTTGGGCTGCTGCTGCTGTTGGGGTTTTTTGGCCCCGTCCCCATGTCCCAGACCCTTCCCCTCACCCCAAGCCCTGACCCCATTCCTGTCCCCGTGTCCCAGCTCTGAACGGGCTCTGCCCCAAATTCTCAGCTCCTGGCCCCAAATCTCAGCTCGGGGCCCACTTGGGGCCATTTTGGCTCCTGAGCTGGTCCCAGCCTCTCCGCCAGGATCCCTGGCCTGGAACTCGCCCAGCTGGGCCCAAATCTGCGCTGCTGGCCCAAAGCAGCCACCACTGACCCCAATCCCCAGTGCTGACCCAAACTGGGACCCTTGGCCTCAAACCCCGACCTTCAGAGCAAAGTCTTGGGGCACAAAGAGGAGATTTGGGGTCAGGAGTTGTGGTTTGGGGTGAGCGGGTGGGAACTGGGGCCGAGGCAGCGCCAGGCTGGGATCAATGGCCAAGGGCTGGGTCTGGGTTGGGGTCTGGGGGAAGGGGCTGGGGCACGGGGACAGGGGGGACTGGGAGATGGGGGTGGGGACCCCACGGGCAACGTCACTACGAGCAGCACTTTCAGCGTAACTGCCAGCAGCACTCTTGGCGCAGAAATAGACGGCGGAATCCTCGTCCTTGAGGCTGTTCATGGTCAGCGTCACCGAGCTCTGCCCGTTGTCCCTCGAGATCCTGAACCGACCCTTGAACGATGACGGGTACCAGGGGCTGCCACCGCTGCTGATATCTGCGACGTATTCCAGCCCCTGCCCGGGCCTCTGGCGGATCCAGTACATGTCAAAGTTCCCAAAACTGAACCCGGATGCTCGGCAGAGGAGGCGCAGGGAGCCCCCGGGGGGCTGGAGGTGCCCCCGGGCTCCAGCAGGGTCATGGCCGCCCGCAGCCCCAAAGGGAACAAGGGGAGATGGGGATGAGGCCGTGCCAAAGTCAGGAGGAGGTGTCCAATTAATCAATGGCTGGATCGGGGCTCATTGCAGGGTTTTAGGAAATTTTCCATGCAGGAAACCTCTGTTGGAGATTTGGGGCCAGGCCAAGGGAATTTGGGGCAGAAGCAGGGAAGGTTTGGGGCTGGGGGAGCGGCCGTGACCCTGCTGGAGCCCGGGGGCACCTCCAGCCCCCCAGGGGCTCCCTGCGCCTCCTCTGCCGCGGCTCCGGCTTCGATTTTGGCAATTTTGCCATGCAATGGATCCGCCAGAGGCCCGGGCAGGGGCTGGAATACGTCGCAGGGATCCAAAGCAATGGTGGCAACCCCAGCTACGCGCCCTCAGTCAAGGGCCGGTTCACGATCTCCAGGGACAACGGGCAGAGCTCGGTGACGCTGACCATGAACGGCCTCAAGGACGAGGATTCCGGCTCATATTTCTGCGCCAAGGCTGCTTATGCTGGTTAGCAATATGAAGCTTATGCTATTGACGTTGGTTTCAGCCCAGCCTTTGTTGTTGGGTTCCCAAATGTCCCCAAACCCCAGACCCTTCCCCCAAACCCCACCCCCTGCCCCAGCCCTGCCCCTTTGTCCCCATTTCCCCCCATGGCCAGCACTGACCCCAAACCCTCGCCGGCTCCAGCCCCAAACTCAACCATTGGCCCCAAACCTTCACCCCGAGCCTTGGTCCCAGCCCTGCCCCCTTTGCACCAACGCTGCCCCATGGGCCCCAAACCCTCCCCTGGCTCCGGCCCCACACTCAGCTCTTGGCCCCACATCTCAGCCTCGCGCCGCGAGTTTTGGGGCCAAAGTGGTTGGGTTTGGGGCAGAACCAGTTGGGGTTTGGGGTCTTTGGTCGCCATTGGTGGAAATGGGGGAGACCTGGGGCAAAGGGTCAAGAATGGGGTCAAGGGCTGAGATTTGGGGGAAGGGTCTGGGGATTCGGGACAGGGGGGCTCAGACAGGGGTGGCGACACCATGGGGAATATAAGCAACAGCAGCATCAGCACCCCAACCAGCGACAGCGGGTTTGGCACAGAAATAGACGGCGGAATCCTCGTCCTTGAGGCTGTTCATGGTCAGCGTCACCGAGCTCTGCCCGTTGTCCCTGGAGATCCTGAACCGGCCCTTGACCGAGGGCGCGTAGCCGGTGTAACCACCATCGCTGCTGATATCTGCGATATATTCCAGCCCCTGCCCGGGCCTCTGGCGCATCCAGCCCATGTAGAATTTCCCAAAATCAAACCCGGATGCTCGGCAGAGGAGGCGCAGGGAGCCCCCGGGGGGCTGGAGGTGCCCCCGGGCTCCAGCAGGGTCACGGCCGCCCGCAGCCCCAAAGGGAACAAGGGGAGATGGGCACGGCCAAAGCTCAGCCCTGGACCCAAACCCTGACCCTGGGCCCCAAACTGGGACCCTTGGGGTTCATCCTCCTCCTCCCAGGATGGTCCAAGCCCATTTCCTGGCTGGCCACACCCACTTGGAGGCCCCCGACCAATCAGGTTTCTCGTGCCCATCTCCCCTTGTTCCCTTTGGGGCTGCGGGCGGCCGTGACCCTGCTGGAGCCCGGGGGCACCTCCAGCCCCCCGGGGGCTCCCTGCGCCTCCTCTGCCGCGGCTCCGGCTTCAGTTTTGGGAACTTTGGCATGCAATGGATCCGCCAGAGGCCTGGGCAGGGGCTGGAATGGTTCGCGGGGATCAGGAGCGATGGTTTCAGCACCTTCTACGCGCCCTCGGTGCAGGGTAGGTTCACGATCTCCAGGGACAACGGGCAGAGCTCGGTGACGCTGACCATGAACAGCCTCAAGGACGAGGATTCCGCCGTCTATTTCTGTGCCAAATCTACTGGTGCTGGTGCTTTTTGGGTTGCTTATGGTGCTGCTGATATTGACGGCACCGGCCATGACCCCATCCCCAACCACCATCACCATCAGCACCGTCACCGTCTGCATCCCTGGCACAGGAACAGGACCCGGAATCCTCGTCCCTGAGGCCGTTCATGGTCAGCGTCACCGAGCTCTGCCCGTGGTCCCTGCAGATCCTGAGCCGAGCTCGTGTCCCAGGGGCTGCCAGCGCTGCTGATTGAGGCAGAGAATTCCGGGGCCCGCCCGGGTCTCTGGGGGATCCAGAGCATGGGGGAACTCCCTGGGGAGGATTCCGGGTCCTGTTCCTGTGCCAGGGATGCAGACGGTGACGGTGCTGATGGTGATGCTGGTTGGGGATGGGGTCATGGCCGGCGGAGTCAATATATCCAGCACCATTAGCATTCCAACCAGCAGAACCATAAGAGTATTTGGCACAGAAATAGGTGGCAGAATCCTCGTCCTTGAGGCTGTTCATGGTCAGCGTCACCGAGCTCTGCCCGTTGTCCCTGGAGATCGTGAACCGGCCCTGCACCGAGGGCCCGTAGTTGGTGCTGCCACCAGTGTTGATACTGGCAATGAATTCCAGCCCCTGCCCAGGTCTCTGGCGGACCCAGCCCATGTCAGCGTTCCCAAAATCGAACCCGGATGCTCGGCAGAGGAGGCGCAGGGAGCCCCCGGGGGGCTGGAGGTGCCCCCGGGCTCCAGCAGGGTCACGGCCGCCCCCAGCCCCAAAGGGAACAAGGGGAGATGGGCAGGAGAAACCTGATTGGTCGAGGGCCTCAAAGTGGGTGTGGATTTCTGAGCAAAGGGGCAGGCCAGACGTAGTTCTGGTGGCAATGCCGACCCTGCCAGTGCTTTTGGCCCTGTCCCCATGGCCGTGTCCCCAGGTGTCCGGAGCTGTCCCCAGACCCCTCCCCTGTGGTCACTCATGGTCAGTGTCACAGAGCTCTGCCGCTGTCCCCGGCCATAATGACCCGGCCCGTGACCCATGGAACGTTCCGGGTGGCTCCACCCTTGCTGACACCTCCAACCCATCCCGGCGCCTTCCCGGGGCTCCGGCTCGCCCAGCTCGAGTCAAAATTTCCGAAATCCCACCCAGATGAGCGGGGACCACCTGAGGGTCTCCTCATCCCCCTCCTGCTCCGGCCGGGGACAGGGACTGGGCCTGGCATCACCGCCACAAACGGCGCCACCAGAAGCAGCATTGATGAACCAGCCTGTGGTGAAACGCCTGGCACAGAAATAGGAGCCGGAATCCTCGTCCTTGAGGCTGTTCATGGCCAGCGTCACCGAGCTCTGCCCGTTGTCCCTGGAGATCGTGAAACGGCCCTGCACCGATGGCGCGTATCTGGTGTCGCCACCACTGCTCTCAATCGCGGCCACAAATTCCAGCCCCTGACCGGGCCTCTGGCGGATCCAGAACATGGTGTGACTGCCAAAATCGAAGCCGGATGCTCGGCAGAGGAGGCGCAGGGAGCCCCCGGGGGGCTGGAGGTGCCCCCGGGCTCCAGCAGGGTCACGGCCGCCCGCAGCCCCAAAGGGAACAAGGGGAGATGGGGATGAGGCCATGCCAAAGTCAGGAGGAGGTGTCCAATTAATCAATGGTGGATTGGGGCTCATTGCAGGGTTTAAGGAAATTTTCCATGCAGGAAACCTCTGTTGGAGATTTGGGGCCAGGCCAAGGGAATTTGGGGCAAGAGCAGGGAAGGTTTGGGGCTGGGGGAGCGGCCGTGACCCTGCTGGAGCCCGGGGGCACCTCCAGCCCCCCGGGGGCTCCCTGCGCCTCCTCTGCCGAGCATCCGGGTTCGATGTTGGCGGTGTCACCCTGTTCTGGATCCGCCAGAGGCCCGGGCAGGGGCTGGAGTGGGTCGGGAGCATCAGGAAGGAAGGTTGGAGCTCCGCGTACGCGCCCTCGGTGCGGGGCCGGTTCACGATCTCGAGGGACAACGGGCAGAGCTCGGTGACGCTGACCATGAACAGCCTCAAGGACGAGGATTCCGGCTCCTATTTCTGTGCCAAATCTGCTGGTGCTGGTGCTGGTGGTTACAGTGTTGGTGCTATTGAGCAGCTACTGGGGACGCGCCTGTCCCTGTGTCCCAACCCTGCTCTGGCTCTGCCCCAAATTCTCAGCTCTTGGCCACAAAGTTGACAGAAATTTTGACACAAATTTTGTCCGCCACGTTGGGAGCAAAGTCTTGGGGCCCAAAGAGGAGATTTGGGGTCAGGAGTTGTGGTTTGGGGTGAGCGGGTGGGAACTGGGGCCGAGGCAGCGCCAGGCTGGGATCAATGGCCAAGGGCTGGGTCTGGGCTGGGCTCTGGGGGAAGGGGCTGGGGCACGGGGACAGGGGGGACTGGGAGATGGGGGTGGCACCATCATCAATACCAGCAGCACCAGCAGCACCAGCACCAGCATATTTGGCACAGAAATAGACGGCGGAATCCTCGTCCTTGAGGCTGTTCATGGTCAGCGTCACCGAGCTCTGCCCGTTGTCCCTGGAGATCCTGAACCGGCCCTTGAACGATGACGGGTACCAGGGGCTGCCACCGCTGCTGATACTGGCGACGTATTCCAGCCCCTGCCCGGGCCTCTGGCGGACCCAGCTCATCCCAAAATTCCCAAAACTGAACCCGGATGCTCGGCAGAGGAGGCGCAGGGAGCCCCCGGGGGGCTGGAGGTGCCCCCGGGCTCCAGCAGGGTCACGGCCGCTCCCCCAGCCCCAAAGGGAACAAGGGGAGATGGGGATGAGGCCCCGGCTCCGGGCCTGTCCGGATTTTTGGGGTAAAACTGGACCAGTCCGGGGGCAATGGTTGGGATGTGAGGGACGAGGCTGAGCTCAGGGGGAAACCGGCCCTGATTTGGGGCCAGGAGTGGAGATTTGGGTCCCCTAATGGAGATTTGGGGCCTAAAGCTGAGATTTGGGGCCAATAACAGAGATTTGGGGCCTAGAGTGGAGATTTGGGGCCAAGATTGGAGATTTGTGGCCAATTATGAAGATTTGGGGCCAAGAATGGAGATTTGGGGCCAATAACGGAGATTTGGGGCCAATAATGACGATTTAGGGCCAGGAGTGAAGATTTGGGGCCAATAATGAAGATTTGAGGCCCAGAGTGGAATTTTGGGGCCCAGAATGAAGATTTGGGGCCAAAAGCTGAGATTTGGGGCCAAAAGCTGAGATTTAGGGCCAATATTGGAGATTTTGGGGCCAAAAGCTGAGATTTGGGGCCCCCAGCAGGTGCCGGCAGCTGCAGCTGCAGCCGAGCCCCGAAAGTGAAACCGGGGCCATTTGGGGCCTTTTTGGCGCCATTTGGGGCCTTTTCGGGGCCTTTGGGGATTTCGGGGCCTTTTCGGGGCCTGTGGGGATTTCGGGGCCTTTTCGGGGCCTCTGGGGATCCCCGAGGGCGGCGCCGGGGCCGGAACGGGGAGAGAAAAACCCGGGGAGGCTTCGGGGGCAGCGCTGGGCGAGGCTGGGCCTGGCTGGGGGCATTTCAGTGGGAATTTAATTTGGATTTATTTAATTTTAATTTAATTTTTATTTCATTTTTATTTTATTTTTATTTAATTTTTAAATAATTTCGATTTAATTTTAATTTAATTTTTATTACATCTTTATTTAATTTTTATATAATTTTTATTTAATTTTTATTTAATTTTTATATAATTTTAATTTAATTTTAATATAATCTTTATTTAACTTTTATTTAATTTTTATATAATTTTGATTTAACTTTTATTTAATTTTAATTTCATTTTTATTTAATTTTTATACAATTTTTATTTTATTTTAATTTAATTTTAATTTAATTTTAATTTAATTTTTATTTTATTTTTATTTAATTTTTATATAATTTTGATTTAATTTTAATTTAATTTTTATATAATTTTAATTTTATTTTAATTTAATTTTGATTTAATTTTTATTTTATTTTTATTTAATTTTTATATAATTTTTATATAATTTTTATTTAACTTTAATTTAATTTTTATGTAACTTTTATTTAACTTTAATTTAATTTTAATTTAATTTTTATATAATTTTTATTTATTTTAATTTAATTTTAATTTAATTTTTATATAATTTTTATTTAACTTTAATTTAATTTTTATTTTATTCCTATTTTATTCCTATTTTATTTCTATTTTCTATTCAAGTTTTAATTTCTTTTTTTAATTTTTTCCTTTATTTCTATTTTTTATTTTTATTTTAATGTTATTTTATATTTTAAATTCGCTTTTAACTTTAATTTAAATTTAATGATTATTTTATTTCTATTTGTAAATTTTACTTTTATTTTTTTAGTTTTAATTTTAACTAATTTAAAAGAATTTAAATTTTAACAACAATTTTATTTATAGTTTTATTTTGTATTTTATTTTCATTTAATTTTTAGTTTTTCTTTTTCTTTTCCAATTAAATTTGGATTTTATTTCATTATTTATTTTATTTTGAATTTTAACTTTAATTTTAATTTATTTATAATTTAATTTTTATTTTTAATACTACTTTTAATTTTAATTTTTTTAATATTTGTTTATTTTTTTATTTTCAATTTTAATTTTATTTCTAAATTTAAACTTAATTTTATTTTTAATTTTTATGTTTATTTTGATCTGTTTAAAATTTTGTTTTAAAGTTGAATTTTAACTTTAATTTTATTTTAATTTTTAATTTTGATTTATTTTTATTTTAATTTAAAATTAAATTTTTACTTTAATAGTTTTATTTTAAATTTTAAGTTATTATTTTTTTTTAAATTTATATTTTTATTTTCAATTCTAATTTAAATTTTACCCTAAATTTTATTGGTAAGTTGATTTTTATTTCACTTTTTTTTTAAACTTAATTTTAATTTTACTTTTAATTTTTATTTTTACTGAATTTAAATTCTTGCCAATTTTGGAACTTTTAATTCCGATTTTTGTGATTTTCTGCTATTATTGGTTTCTATTTGAATTTTTAAATTTAATTAAGATTTTAATTTAATTGAGTTTAATTTAGTTTAATTAATTTGATTTAATTTAGTTTAACTTAGTTTAAATTAATTTAATTTAATTTAACTTTATTTTAATTCATTTCAATTTTATTTTATTTTTATTAAGTTTTAGTTTAATGTAATTTATTTGAAGTTTTATTTTATTTTTATTTAATTTAGTTTAATTTAATTTAATTTTGTTTTATTTTTTAACTCAATAATTTAAAATTTAAATGATTTAAATTAGAAGTAAATTAATTTTAAAATTTATTTTATTTTATTTCATTTATTTAATTACTTTTATACCTAATTCCTTCCATTATTAATTCCTTAACTTTGTTTATTTGAGGTTTATTATTGACAATAATTTTTAATTTATATTTTTAATTTTTTTAATAATAGTAATACTTAAATAATGAAATCGTATTATTATTAAATAATATTTATTTTATTTTATTTTATTTTATTTTATTTTATTAATTTTACTTTAATTTTATTTTATTTTATTTTATTTTACTTGATTTTATTTTATTTTATTTTATTAATTTAATTTAATTTAATTTAATTTAATTTAATTTAATTAATTTAATTTAATTTTATTTTATTTTAATTTATTTTATTAATTTTATTTTTAATTTTTATTTCAATATTTTACCAGATTCCTTTCTTCCTCCTATTTATTCCACCCATTAAAGTCAATTCCCTTTTATTCCTCGGCATTAATTAAGAATTTTTAATAAAAAATCAAAAATTTCGGTTTTTTCCTTGTTTTTTTCGTTATTTTCCTTTTTTGCCATTGGAGCGTTCGGGGTTTTGGGGCAATAAATGAAATAAAATGGAATTAAAGGGAATTAAAAAATTGGGAAAAAAAAGACATAAAATAAAATTAAATGTTCAATAAAATAAAAGAATTCATCATATTTGGGTTTTATTTTATTTTATTTTATTTTATTTTATTTTATTAAAACTTATTATTGTATCATTATTTATAAATTTATTTTGTTTTAATTTAATTTAATTTTATTAAAACTTATTATTGTATTACTGTTTATAAATTTTTATTTTATTTTAATTTAATTTAATTTAATTTAATTTAATTTAATTTGAACTTATTATTGTATCATTATTTATAATTTTTAATTTAATTTAATTTTATTTTATTTCATCTTATTGATTAAAATTTATTTTTCTTATTTATAGAATTATTTAATTTTTAAATTTTAATTTTATTTTCTTACTTTATTTTTAAAAAATTTATTATTTTATCATTATTTGCATTTTAATTTAATTTAATTCAATTTATTTCTTTTTATTAAATTTATTTAATTTAAAAAAATAATTTAATTTATATTTATAATTTTTTGTATTATTTGTATTATTAATTTATTTTTAAAGTTATTGAAATTAAAATTAATTTAAAATAAAATTATAATGAAATTAATTAATAAATTAAAATCAAAATAAATTTAAAATAATATAAATTAAATTAAAATGTAAAATAAAATAAAAATAAATAAATAAAATAAAATTAAAATAAAGTAAAATAAAATAAAATGAAATTAAATTTAAATAAAATAAAATAAAAATAATAAAATAAAAATAAAAAAAAAAAAAAAAAAAAAAAAAAAATAAAATAAAATAAAATAAAATAAAATAAAATAAAATAAAATAAAACGTGATTAAAACGAAATGGCAGAAAATAAAGGAAATAAAAGAAAAAAAACCGAACTAAAAATGAAATGAAATAAAAATAACGGGAAATAAACAGAATAAATGGAATGAATATTTTGAATTTTAATAATCAAAAAATGGAATTAAATTAAATTAAAAAAGTGGAAGAATCAAAATTGAAAAAAGGGAATGAAAATAAAGTTATAAAAATAGAAAATGGCGAAACCAGAGGCAGGAAATTGATGCAAATGAAGGAGGAAATGGGTGAAAAACAGAAAAAAAAATCAATTAAAGCGGAGGAATTAAAAAAATAAAGGCGATAAATTGAAATAAATTGAAATAAAATAAAATTAATTAAAGGAACGGACGTAAACCCAGGAAATAAATCCCAAAATTTGGTAAAATAAAAGAAGAAGAATTTAATTTAATTTAATTTAGTTTCATTTAATTTAATTTAATTTAATTTAATTTAATATTAATCTAAGAAAAAATTAAATTAATTTAATT